TGGCAACAGAATGCGAGCCAGATCGCGATGCCATTCCATCTCATTGACTAGACTGTACTTTCTAATCATCCTCCATCAGCGCAGCCAACTCCGCTTCCTCCTCAGCTGTCATCAAAGGCTCCTTATCATCATCCTTCCTCTTCTCCCCCTCACCCTCTTGCCCATCAACAACCTCGGACGCAGCTCGAATCTCCTCGACCGCCGCATCCAACCCCTTACGGTCAAGAGGCCACGTCCGCAGCGTACAGTCGATACCAACGCTGCACAGCACATCCGCCGCCGCCGCCGCCGCCGCCGTCGAAGAACCCCGCAGGACGACAAGATCGGTGATCTCGTCAAAGTGCGCGTCGAGGAGGGCGTACAGCTGGCCCGATGTCCGGTCCCAGACCTTGATGTGCTGGTTGATTCCCGCCGTGACGACCCAGTCCGGCGTGAGCGCGACGGCGCGGACAAAGTCGCCGTGCTCAAAGGCGTCTTCTGCGGAAAAGGCCTTTTCGCGGAGGAGGCATTTAGCGGTGCCGTCCGCGCTCGCGGTCCAGAGGTCGACTTCGTCGCCGGTGATGTCGAAGAGGACCTTGTACACGCTCGTCTCGTGTTCTTGGATCGTGAGCTTTTCTTCGCCCGCGGCGGCGGCCTTCTCTCCTCCAGCGGCAGGGGGCTGGTCAAAGGGAAGCTGCGCGTACGAGTCGAGGCTGATCTTCCACCGGCGAATGTGCGGATCACTGCTGGCGCTCACAAGGACGATCTCGTCCGCGGTGCTGAGGACCGGGTCGATGGCGAGGGACTGCAGCGACATCATGGTCGTGGTCGGGTCCTGGAGAACGTGTAGCTTGCGCCCCGCGTCGGCGTCCCAGACGATAATCTTCTTGTCTGCACCGCCGCTGACGAGGATGGTCTTGTCGCCGAGGCGGCCGCAGACCAGAGCCTTGACGAAATCGGAGTGGCCCTCATACTTACGGCCCGGTCGGCGCGTTGTGGCATCCCAGGACCAGATTGCCTTGTCCCAGCTGCCTGCGAAGAGGGTGTTGTTGGATGCGCCGCCTGTTGCGAGGCATGTTACTGGGACGGAGGGGCCGGTGTACTTTGCTGTGGTGGTTCGTGTCTGTGATGTGGTGAGCCCCTGATTTCGAGATGGGCACTATCTCACTACAGCGCTCTGATGGGATGGAATCAAAGAGGCCAGGGGCGAGAATCCCAAGAGTCATGCCGCAGGTATATGAGAGAATCTTACCTCGATGTTCACCTTAGATACCCTTCCACCAGATTCTGCGACGAAGACGGAGTTATTGGACTTGGTATCCTTGGTGACGGCCAAGAGCTTGGAGGGCATGCGCAGCGGGTTGCCAAACGTGTTTCCCTCCTTCTTGACACGCTGCTGGCGCTTTTCTTGCTGCGTGCTACATAATTGTCAGTCATTCTCTTGGTAGCCTCGTTCAACGTATACTTACTCCGTCTCGAAGAAGTTCTCTTGGTTGGTTGACTCCATGTTGAGGGGTATTTCTCACGATCGCCCAAGTCCTTGAACCGTTCTTTTCAATAACTGTAGGATAAAATACGTACAATGCAGCTCAACTCAGTCTTGGTTAAAGATACGATAGTCGGTCAGAAGGCAAAAAATGGGCTTTGGGAATTTTGATGCCTAATCTAGGTAACTCTTCGGATCGCCCACTTTCACTCACAAGCTGCATTTCTCATCAATTCTGATGCCTGCGATGCATTTCTGTGAAAGCAGTGACAGCCCCCCCACCTGTCACCAAGTGGTTGAGGAAGAGGATCAGACTGAAGAAGTACGTACCTGGCGGGGTTCTATTAATGACCCCTGTCCCGCGCCTGTCAAAAAGTTGCTTTAATTGAATTCGCGACGCGTCTAAACGCGTCCCTCTCAGAGTGCCTCTGTCCCACCATCACCACATCGATTCTCTCAAACACTCATCTCCAACCACAAGACCCCAATTGACGATACCACGACTCTCCAAACGGTCAGCTTCACTTATCACTCATAATCACCGATCTCTCCGAGACAGTAAGAGTTCAAAGATACCCATGAACAAGATCTAAACCACACCCCACACATCAACCCCGAAATGGCCTCCTCCCTCGCCCCGAAACCGCGGCCGAGGCCGGCGCACACCACAGGAACAACCCGTCTCGCCTACACTCCCTCAGGCGCCCGCCTCGTCACCGTTGGCTCCAACAACACGATCCGCCTCTACCGCACCCACCACGATGGCGAGCCCTTCAACATCGACGACTGCCCCGAGCAAAACTGCGCCGTTGCCGCATCTGACGCCTTCTTCGTGGTCGGCTCAGAGGACGGCACCGTCAGCGTCTACTCGGTCGAGGACACTACTTTCGAGCGCTTCCTCACTCGCACCTCCCTACCAGTTCGAGACGTCGCTCTATCCCCCGACGCAAAGTGGTGTGCCGTCGCCAGCGACGAGCTCACGGTCAAGGTCGTCGATACCCAGGATAACTCTCGCATCCGCGTTCTCAAGGACCACGGGCGCCCGACGAAGCACTTAGCCTTTGATCCCAAGGGCGGGCTCTTGGCGCTGGCGTGTACAGATGGAGTCATATACGTCTACTCCATGACGGCAGAGACGCCGGAGCTCATCCGCAAGGTGGACGGCATCATTGGACCTCTCGACCCCGAATCCGAGAACTCGGCCAAAATTGTGTGGCATCCCGACGGACGGGCTTTTGCGGTGCCTACGCCCATGCACGATGTTCAGGTCGTGTCCAAGAACGACTGGGAGAAGCAGCGGACGTTTGCCAACGGGCATTTGGGTGATGTCACCGCGGTGGCGTGGTCGCCCAACGGCGCAATGCTGGCGACGGCAGGAAAGGACGGGAAGCTCTTGATCTGGGAGGCAAAGACACAGAGCGTGATTCAAAAGTTTGACTACAGCAACGTCATTGACATCACATGGCACCCCAAGGACAACCTGCTGTCGTTCACAACGTCTGACGGCGAGGTCTACATCTACCCCAACCTTATTACGGAGCAGTTCTCTAGCTTCCTGCAGCTGCCTCGCCAGCCTGCACCTTTTATCCACGATCCCCTCTCCGATATCTCCAATAACGCCAGGAGACCAGATGCCAACGGCAAGGCTGCGATCCCGAGCCGCCCTCGCCGCGATTCCCTGGGCAGTCTTGACTCCTTCCTCAACGGTGAGGACGGCTACGATGATGGAGACGGCTTTGTTGTTGACGATGACGGTGCGGGCTACTCGACGGGGCAAAAGAGGCCTCTCGATGCCGGCGGCGACGACGGCGACCGCGCGAGCAAGCGCCGCCAGCTCGCGCTCAACTTCCACGAGGCCTTCCAACCAGGCTCGACTCCCTGGCGCGGAAACCGCAAATACCTTTGCCTGAATATGATTGGCGTCATCTGGACGGTCGACCAGGACGGTCACAACACCGTGACGGTAGAGTTCTACGATCACGAGTTCCACCGCGACTTCCATTTCACAGACACATTCCTCTACGATAAGGCCTGCCTGACAGAGCACGGCGCTCTGTTCTCGTGTCCACCGCAAGACAACACGCCCGCCACCATCTTCTACCGCCCACACGAGACGTGGACGCAGCGGACAGACTGGCGAACTGAGCTGCCCAAGGGTGAGGCCGTAGTTGCCATGTCGCTGAGCGAGTCTTTCATCACAGTTACCACAACCGCCAACTATGTGCGTATCTTCACCCTCTTTGGAGTGCCGTACCGGGTCTATCGGCCCAAGAGCACACCGATGGTCACTTGCGCCAGCTGGCGTGACTATGTCATAACGATGGGCAACGGCCCCGTCGGCGCAGACGGCAACGCTCGCCTCCTGTACACGATCGAGAACATCAAGCGGGACGAAATCTGCCAAAACGAAGACACCGTCGCACTATCCGATGGCGCGACGTTGCAGAGCGTCTTCTTCTCAGATGTCGGCGTAAGTTTACACGCCCCTCCTCCCCTTCTTCCCTTTCGGACATAGGGATGCAGTTTCGCTGACAGGCAGGGTACACCGACTCAGGATCCTTGCATTTATGACTCGACAGGCACTCTGCTCACCCTGCTTCACTGGCGGAAGCCCTCGCGCGCCTGCTGGGTGCCCCTCCTTGACACAAAGCTTCTCCCGCGTTTAGCGTCGGGAAGGAAGACAGAAACCTACTGGCCAATTGCGGTAGCCGACAAGAAGTTTCACTGCATCATCCTCAAGGGCGGGGACCAGTACCCCTACTTCCCGCGGCCGCTGCTGTCCGAGTTTGAATTCTCCGTGCCACTAACCTCCGCTCCGGCTCCCGCTCCGGACTCGGAGGGTGCGGAAGGAGCGAACGGCGACGATGAGGAGGATGAAGGCCGCCGCGAATCGCGCAAGCTGGAGCAGAAGCTCTTGATTTCCGGCATCCACTCTGCCCAGCTGCGCGATCTCATTGACCACACCGACGCCACGCACTCCCAAAAGACGGGTCTTGCTCGGCTGGAGCTCGAGCTCGACAAGACGCTGCTGCAGATGCTGGCCATTGAGTGTCGCGAGGGCGAGGAGCGCGGCATGCGGGCGCTGGAGCTGGTGGGTCTGATGCGCGATCGGACGGGCCGTATGATTGAGGCGGCGGGTAAGGTTGCGGAGCGGTACGGACGGTCGATCCTGGGCGACAAGATCCGCGAGATCGGAGAGCGGAGAGTCAACGGGATGGATGTTGACGATGGCGACTTTTAGACTTTTTCGTTTTTTTGGTCATCCATGGCTTGGATGGTTGCTCCGGGAAGGGCACATACTCGGGAAGGGGGCTAACCCCCCTCACTCCCCATGTCGGGAATTGGGTTTCATGGTTGTTTGGATGGGTCCTTCCCGTCAGTATAAGGAAAGGCGTTTGGATGATGATACGATAGTGACTACTTGATGGTCTGCGTTTGTCTTTTTCCCCTGCGGAAGACGTGAAATGAATGACTAGCTAATACAAAGGCGATATCCGTACGGATAGAGGTTCTTTCCTTTTTGCTTTTTCGGCAGTCATCGTCGTCCATGTCGTGTTCCTTGTAAAATGTCTAAAATACGGAGTCGGAACAGAAGGGTATGAATAATACGAGGAATAAGCACGTCGTGTTCTCCGCAAAGGGAGCAAGATATCACTGTGAAAAGGCGGAGATCTGTCCGTATCGTCGTTTTCGTGTGTGTGTTTTTGATGAGGATGTGTCGCGGTTCATCTCCCATACGTGGAACTCTCTGGAGCACAGGTACGAGGGCGGCACCCATGGCACCGGTCCTCGCGGACTTTCCGAGCTGATGTTTTTTCTCCTGTGTAGGGTTAGAACGTTGTGTCGATATTTGACTTTGGGTCGAATTATTCGCCCTCCCTTCTCTGGACACTAGGTTCTTCCAGAGAGTGCCCATCCAGAACTCAGAAGGAGCCTCTGGGTCCCCGGCCTCGAACGGCATAATGTCGGACGTGATGGGTGCATAAGCCCAAACACTCAACCCCCCGGATCCGAGACTCCTCCGTGTAAAGTAAAGCAGCAAATCCGAAGACGAAATGGACCAAAGCGAAGACTCGACTACGACACGCACCGACTGGAACAAACAACAAGAGGGCGTCCACGTGTCTCTTGGTTGGGTTTTGGATTTCCATCCTCGTCCTGGAAGTAAGGGTTTCTTGCGGGACCTTGGTCGAAGTATTCGCACCACCACAACCTCAACTTCTTCTCGATTAAGTTCAAGATTGAAAGATGTGTTGTCCCAAGACATGCCGTCTTCGTGTCATGTTTCTCTCTCTCGGCAGTCCAACCGAGACGCCATGGTCGTTCTCGGAACACTGTGCCGAGTTCCCAGCAGCACTCCTCGTTCCCGTGTGCGCGGGGACGGTGGAGGAGGGAAAGCGGAATGGGCGGCAAGGTGCGGCCCGAATCCGGTACACGGTGACCAGAGCCTGGAGGACAATGGTGTATCCGTCCCATTGCCTGTTGTTTTTAGAGGCTTAGTTGTCATGTTCGGCCACGAAGACGAAGGAAAAAACCATGCTACGCATCCATTGACGCGTTGTGGGACATCACCGTTTGCTTGCATGCATGTTGTCGTGATTGCGACATGTTACCCTGTCTTATTTGCAGAACGGCCATACCGCAGTTAGACGTAGGCTACCCGCGGGATCTGTCCGGTGCAAACTAGGCAAGGGGGCGGAAGGATGAACAACCATACCCGGAATTCGACAGGGTAATGCAAAAATTAGAGTTCGAGTCGAACGGGGTAGATCTCGGTCGTGGGGTTCTTCTTTGGCTTCGGATGTGTCGTTCCACGGAACCAGTCACCATGCTGTATAGAGCAGGCTCTTGGAACTAGTCCGTTCTGGGTTTCAACGCGATACGCAAAGGTGGACAGCAGCGATTTGCTTGTTAAAGAAGAATCTCAGTAACTTGAAGATGAGACGAAAGGTACACCAGAGCTCTGGGTTGGGCAATTCTCAAAGGGCTCCCGGAAGCCAATTGTATGAGTCAAACTTCTAGAAGCTTGGCGATTCGCCGTGAGACGAGCGTCGACGTTACATCTTCAACGTTCTTCGGACAGAAAGAACGCTTACCGCAGAGAGAGTTCGCCGGACCCGGCTCGCGTTACATCAAGAGCGGACCATGGAGATGGGCCGGGGCCTTAGGTCACAGGTGGTGGTGTAAGGAGTAGGAGAGCCAGTGCTGGACTGTCGGATCGACAACGTTGAGGTGCTCGATCTAACAGTTGCCTGTAGCAGCTTCCATTCTGACATGATGAGTGCGTAGTCCAGCAAAGTGTCCAGTAGTCACACAAGGCTGGACGGATAGCGGTTCTGCTGAAACGTTGGGACTGCAGTTCGTTCGCTCAGGCCGCCATCCACAAACTCGTTCGTTTGGAAAGAAGTCAAAAAGCTGGTTCAGGTGGATGCAAAGAGCCCTCAGGAAGGATTAGAGACTTACCGGTTGTGCGGCAGTAGCAGTCCGTCGTCGGAATGACCTGAATATGACGCTCGCTGGAGGGCACCATCCACAGGCGCATTTGCGATTAAGGCAGGAAGAGTTTGCAGATGCGGATGTCGACTTGTAACGAGGTCAACGTTTCTGCGCTGGAAATCACCCCCTAAACCTTGTTCAGCTAAGGGCACCCGAGGCTCAAAGGATGCGCCAAGACAGAGCTGAATGGCCGTGACGTCTTATTTTCAAAACGGAAGAGTATAGCAAGCTTCGAGGCGAGAGCCGGAGGAAATAGCCCCAGGCACGGTTGAAGACAATCTTGAGCATGTGACGGTAACTGTGCCTAGTTTCGCTGGAAAAGGCGACCCAGTTGTATCCAGAGATCGAAATGCGTGCCATAAAGAAACTGCTTCCAGTGCTCAATGCTGACTGGGCGACTGGGGTAGGGGGTTGCATACATTTCTCCTCAACGTTCGGAAGCACCCTAGTCTTGTCCCATTGGAATGCAACGACTACATGATAGCTTCGCATTGTTCGCAGGAGCTTCTTAGACGAGTCCTCTCTGTGGTAATAAACGTGACAAGCACACGTCGTCGTCTGGATTTGGACCAGGGGCAGGGGTTGGAAGGGGAAATTCAGGGCTTTTGCTCGACGCTTTATCCCTCGGTCGAGTATGGCTGGCTGGCTGGGCCCTTGTCGGCCCGGTCCATGGTCTCCAGCTCCCCTTTTCACCTGTCGAAAAATCGTTTGCTGTAATATCCAGAGGCGAGGGAAGGCGTGAACAGCGAGCAGTAAATCGGACAATCTGCGGAGAATTTGGCGTAAAGACGCCGACTTCCTCGGACTGGCACTGGCCAGCTCGAGATTGGAGTTGAGGCGTCAACGAACGATGGGCCATTTGATGTTGAGTAGTTGCAGATCAAATTGCCCTAGCCTCCCGTGGCAGCAGGCACTACATATGGGAGACAAGAAACTCCCTGGTTGTTTGTTAGTGACTTCCTCGCTTCTGGTCTCAGCTCTTAACCAGGGTACGGAGTGCAGTAACGAAACGGTTTTCGTGGTTGTCAAGTCCCTCGGGTACGGCACAGTGGGCGGCACATGCCTGCTGAATCTTGATTATCAAATCTTGAATCTGCGCTTTCAATAGCCTCTTCCGATTCACCGTGGACGACATGGACCCAACCTGTTGAGTTTTTTCGTTGGCGATGAAGGTTGTTGCGGCAGGTAATCAGCATCTCAAGAGCCTCCGGCCAAGAGCAATGCGGTGCTTGTCTAGATCGTATTTTGACCTATGGGCCTCTGTGCGTTCCTCCTTGACGCGGAGTGATCATTGCGTGTGTACTGCATCGACGGACCCGATTGTCAACTGGGCCTCTAGGCACTGAGCTCACGGCCATTCTGCTAGGGTGGTCGTTTGGAGGCGAATGGCTTGATCGTGTCTGCCCTAGCCGTCTCGCGCGGATTGTGGATATTATCGCGAAGAAGCGACGCCGTTGAAACAGAAGTGCACCGTCTGGCCGGTTCGAGTCTTCCGCAATTCCTGGGCTGGTTGTGGTCCTGCGTTAGCTGCCACAAGCACCGCACCACCGCTAGCTCGAACCTTTGGTTAAGATGACGGCCTGCTTTGAGCGGTGGGAAGGCAAGGTTCATTGGGTGAGTGGCAGAGGCCATCATCACGCCACGGTAAGACACAGGAAGCAAAAGGGCTTGCGCAAAAGCCGCTCTGAAGCACTTGCGTGCTCAATTTGATGAGGACAAGCTCTCCACATGCCACACACTGGACCGTTCGCAGTACCACAGAGCACGGGCCCGAAGCGAAGACAGCCAGGCACAGTTTCTTGGCCAGTCGGCTTCCAGGATAGTCGACGAAGCCCACGGTTGATCGAGATTTAACACTACTCCTGGGAAAGCAACGCAGCTCCCGACTGGCTTGTCAGTTGTAAAAGCATCTGCTCGTGCCCGGGGGTACTAGGCCCTGGGACGGGGAGCTTGGGGACCTTTGGCTCGGTAAGAGTCCCGCCAGTTTCGCTTGTCGTCTCCCTGCCGTCGAACGGACACAGACGTGACATGTAGTCAACGAACCGGATGCTTTAGTTGGGCAACGGATAGGCTAAGCTGGAGCTGTTGAAGCAGAAAGAAAGCACAGAGCATCTCGGTAGCAGCATGATCCAGCCTGCGCGGCTTGCAGGGTCCTGGCGTGCCCTTAGTGTTTGGTTCTGTGTAATGGTGGTGGTGGTGATGATGGTTTAAGGGTGGTAGTTGTGGTAAGGACTGGGAAGAAAATGATGCCTCTCGTTTGGGTCGATCGAAACTTGATACTGACCCTCCAGCTGCAGCCGGCTAGAAGCTATCGAGGCTGGGGGTCTGCCTTGTAGGTTTGGGTATCGCATCTCATTCTCAGCAGGAGATGGGTTTGGTTTGCTGGGATAGTGTCTTCCCCACCCACACCCCTCCTGGTCGCGGCCGCATCTAGGCATCGAGGAGACGGGGTTGGCTGAAAGGCTATGATTGTCGCAGATGGCAATCTCGTAGCTTCCTGGACCGGGCGATTGGAGAAGAGATCTTGAGCTGCACGACTGAGACAGCGTGTCAGAGAAACGAGGAGTTGGGGATCGAATGACGGGAAAAGAAAGCAAAAAACGGACTTTAGGGTGGAGAGGACGGTCTCAGGGGGTACGGGAAAAGGTGAACAAATACATGATGTGCATATCATGGTGTATCCGAAGGCGACATGCTAGGAAATTGACAGAAACGTTGAATCGGTTATGCCTACGTCCAGGCTGATACTGGAGGAGGCGGTTGAAATTAAAAGAGCTCGGTCCAGAAAACGACTAGGTAGAGGGAGGGCGGTGGATGAAATTGAGATGCGTTTGTTCAAGATGTGGAGGAGTGAAAGGGTCGCTCAAGCTTCAGCTCCAGGCCCTGTAAATGGCATTCAATCGAGTTAGAAAGAACGGCGAAGAAACGAAGCTGGAAAGAAAAAGGGCCGGAGATGGAATGCGCAAATAATCGAGGCCACATGCAACGAAGAGTCGAGCCCCGTGGTGTCTGACTGTCTGTTTAACGAATGGAAAAGAACACGAGGCAAGGAAAAGCAAGGCCAGTCAGAAGGTGCCCTGTGCTGACCCTTCCCAATATCATCTTACCCCTAGGTATCAAGTTGGCAGGTACGCATCTCCATCTACCTTACCTCACCTTCTTTTGCTTGCTACTATGGGTACTTGACTGAGGCACTAAGATACCTACCTGCCTAGGTAGAGTCTGTCTTGACTGGTACGGGAGATGCAAATACTTTTCCCTTCCTTACATCCAATGCTAGCTGCCAAAGGCACGGTTCTACTTACTTGGCTGGCAAAAAAATCCAAGACTTACAAATCAGAGAGAATTGCTATAACGAAATACATTGTCTGGTGGGCGCCTCTTGGTGTAATGTTTCCGACGCAGGCTGGTGTCTTGGCCACTGTAAGTCGAGAGTTGCGTCTTAAGCTTCAAAGCACGGGAGAAGCAGACGTGCAGCTAGGTAGGCAGATAGGTACGCCAGGACCATCCACTTGATGCCATGACGCCGGCTCCGACCAGCGGCTGGGTGAAAGACGTGTTGCTAAAACACAGTCGAGTCGACGGTCCAACATCCGGCGGTCTTAGGGTTCCTTACGGGCGGGCGCTCCAGAGACCGAGCCGTGTTTTTTTGTACGCCCAAGGTAGTGTACCTTTAGCTCGCTCATCATGGCTCAAACCGTCCATCGAACCTCTTGTCCAAAGCAACTGCAACCTCATGTAGTGGTTGACCTGCAGTCATGCGGCTGTCAATGCAGAGAGTGCTGCCCAGACCCCGGAGATATGGAGTCGAATATGAGAAGCCTTGTGGTGCTCCCTATTTGTATGCACAGGTACTCGATGGGACACCGAGCAGGGCAGGAAACGGCAGCCAAGGACAGATAGGCGCGGACTAGACTGGACGCAGGGTACTTGATCCGACGTCACTCGTTGCCCTTTCTCTCTGCCATGTCTCTGGCTGGCGTCGAAGTTTGTACGACACAGTTGCGGACTCTCATTCTCATCAGTGGTAAGAGACATGGCCTATCTGGTGTCGTGTACCTCTTTGATGCTCAAGGCATCGTGCGGCTGAAGCTCTTTGTGCTCCTCTAGACTGGTGGGCATCAGCGAATGACTGTGACTAAGAGCGTCAAGAGCTTCGCCGATCGAACGTCTGGGCTATTGTCTGGAGGATGGGGAAATGGCAATTCCCTCCCTGCCTGCCAGTGTACTTCATCATCATGTTCCACGTTTCGTGAATTTGAATTGTATGATAGCAAAGACCCGGCAAAGAAGAAGCAAACTTGGCCCATTTTGGAAAGAGTCTCGTCAGGGGTTCAGACATCAGGACTTGCATTTCATCTCATCTTGACGGGACTTCAACGCCTCTTCGATTCAGATTCATGGCGTAGGTAGGTACTGTAGCTGCAGAGATACCTCTTTACCTTACGACCTTACCTTACGTAGACAGACGAGCCAAAATCTGACTCTGAGCGGTACGGGATCCCGGCGGGCGCTATCCATTTCAACGTGCGTAGACTGACCAGAGCAAGAATACAATACTGGTGTATTCGCCCATACTGAGAGGCACGGGATGATACATGCAGGAGAAGAAGCCTTTGAGACTTTGAGTAACTGGCTGGCAGCTCATCCATCGGCCTTAACCTTGTTCCTTTGACCCTGTTCCGGAGAATGCCACCAGGGACCCCAGCATCTGCACCCACATCTAATTCCCTACCTGTGGGAGGGGGTGCGCTTTGAGATCCCAGCGAGGAGAAGACGACCGTCGACCCCCCCTCCAGCCAGATCCACCCACCCATTGGATTGAATGTGACCTTTTCCTGCTTTCCCACCTGTCCATTCCCATTTTCAGCTGGCGGGGACCGGACACCCCCTTCCCCCTTCTCTCCTGAGCTTCCACGGTATCTTCCATTCCACATCGTCTGTCCTGCCGTACCACCTGCCCTGTTGTGTGCAGCAGCATGTGTATGCGTGTGTGAGTGAGATGAGAGAGAGAGATAGGCAAAGATAGCGCGCGTGTATACCTTTGTACAGATGCGTCCCATGTATTTGTGCGTGAGTGAGAGACCTGGAGTGAGATATCTCATATCTTGGTGAGGTACCTAGATACCTAAGATACAAAGGTACCTAAGGTACTATACGTACCGGAATGTGTGATTGCCCGAGGTGAAGGTGGGAAAGAAGAATTCAGTGACCGAGCAGGAGCTCTCCCGTCCTCTCCTTGGTGCTCCGTACCTAGGTACTTCGTACCCCTAAAATTCGCTGCTGCTGCTGCTGCTGCTGCTGCAAGGTAAAGCGACTTGGGCCCGCCCCATGCATGGCCGTCCATCTCACACGCCCGCGGATGCCCTCCCACCCCCTCCTTCAGCCCAATCAGCAAGCTTCCATCAATAACGACACTTTCCCCGACCTGAACATTCTGAACATCCTCACTTGGTGCTGCTGGTGGGACGGGCGCCACACCTCCCTCCTTCTCTCTCCCACTTTCGGCCATTTGACATTGGATACCTGAGATCCCTTTTTTCGATTTCTATTACTTTCGCCTTCTCCTTTTTTCTCTCTCTCTCTCTCTCATTACGGACACTATTACCGTGCTTGGGCTCAATAGAGACTCGTCGCTCACACTCCTCCTCCTTCTCCCACACATGCTTCTTCGGCTATCTACCGTCCTTGCTCCCTCTCTTGCTCCTTGACCCAAACACGACAAAAGGTACCTTGAAGCATTGGGTTTACCAACCGACTGACACATCGACGCCGCAATTAGAACGGGGCCACTCAGAAGCTGACTGCTGAATCACAGTCTAGAGTACACGCTACCTTACACCATCCCGCAATTCTTGTGGCACTTGCTCTCCTTAATCAGGCCTTCTTTCTTCCTGTGTCCTCGCAGATCCAACCGACTATCGATCTAGTCGAGCCACTTTAAACCTTCGCCAGCAGCAGCACAAGCACCACCATCAGCACCACCACCCACCCCCAGTCCCTCGTCCTTGTCCCTCATTCGTCGTCATATTTCCGGCGGCCCTGGCCTTCGGAAACCCTTCTCCTTCTCTTCGAACTCTAGAACTTCGACACTTCCACTTCCATTCTCTTGCATCCCGCATCCCGCATCCCTAGGTATTTCGCTGAGAGTTCCGCCACCCATCTGGACGAGAAGAACACCCCAAACCTTTTTCTTCAACTCTGCCAATCTGGACGCATTCCAGCAGATCCATCCCTCTACCTAGCAATCCCCCGACGTTGGAAGCCTGTCGGCAGCTGGAACAGAGGCCTGCTGCTAGCAGAACCGAACCACGGCTGGACGCTTCAATCCCCAAACCGCTCACCCACTCGCGCTCGCCTGCTTCAACCAACATTGCTGTCGTTTCTCGCCAATCCTAGCCAAAGGAAGCCTTCTCGCGAAGCTGCCAAAGGGCTCAAAGGCACCACTCGACACTAGAATCGATCCCAGATAGCCATCCCAACCCCATACCTCCTGCGATAGACCTATCCCATTGTCTTCCTCTGCGCGCATCGCTGCAGAACCCGCCCGCATCGCCTATACCGTTCTGCGAAGCCATGAGGTGAGACAAGCCCCTCAACCATTTCCTCAAACCCACCGCGACCGCCTCGATACCGCTCCAACTCTTTCTCCTGTCTTCCCTGCCATTCCCAAAACCGCGTTCTCCTCGCAATTCATTGCGCCCTTGTCTCTAGAGCTAACCGGATTCTTGCGTCTTACAGAGGGGATGGCCACAGTGACTGAGAGTCCGCAGAGAGCTCCTCTGCCTGCTAACGGTCATGCCGATCTGATTCCGAATCGCATTGTACCTATCCCAACCCCGACCCCGACCATCCAAATGTCTGCTCCATCTCCCGGTGAGCCTATGGAGATCACTTCCTCCAACAACGCCAGCACGACCTCTCCTTCGAGCAAGCACAACGATACGGATGCCAACGGCGCATCCAAGCACACCTCGCCTACAGACCAATCTGCGAACAACTCGATCGCCATGCCCGCCGCGCCCGCAGCTGCGGCCGCGGCTGTGCACCAGCCAAAGATTGTGCAGACAGCTTTCATACATAAGCTGTACAGGTGAGCAGGAGTCTAGAACAACGTTCAGTAGCAGTATAGCTAACACCGTTCAGCATGCTGGAGGACCCAAGCATACAGCATCTGATATCATGGTCAGCGAGTGCTGAAAGCTTCGTTATGTCACCGTCCGCGGACTTTTCCAAGGTTCTAGCGTAGGTGAACACGCTTTCGAATATGTCCTTCACCTACTCACTATCGACTAGACAATATTTCAAACACACCAACATATCCTCTTTCGTCAGACAATTGAACATGTACGGGTTTCATAAAGGTTCGATAGCATCTCCTTTGACCACAAAATGTCCAATGCTAATTGAGGCAACAGTGAGCGACGTTTTCCACACGACAAATCCCGAGACCGCTTTGTGGGAATTCAAACATGGAAACGGCAATTTCAAGCGAGGCGACCTGGTTGGACTCCGTGAAATCAAACGGCGAGCTTCACGTCATGCTCTTGTTCACCGGGAGTATCCCAACTCAAAGCCCAGCCCTTCGCAGCCCGGAACGCCTTCGGAACCGATGCCTCCCCCGAGCGATGGCTCCGAAATGCGTATGCCTGGGCTCGAGCATACGCTGTACGACCTGAGCATGCGACTGCAGAGAAGTGAAGAGAATGCCCATTACATGCATATTAAGCAGCAAGCGGTGATGGAAACAATGTCACGGCTCCTCCAATTCAACCAAGAGTTGTCTAGGACGGTGCTCAGTCTCGTCCCTAGTCCCGACAACCCAGTGCACCGGGATGGTGAGTTGCATCTTTTGTGGTCCACGTAGCTGGCAGCTAACACTGCGCGAATCAGTTCTCAGTTTGCAATCGGAAATGGCAAGACAGGCCGAGATGCTCCGAACTATTGATGATCCCCAGGAATCGCCATTCTCAAGCAGCCGAGCATACTTCACCAACGTGGAGAATGCACCGGTTTCGCCGCGGCAGTTACCCCAGGATGACCCAAGACGAAACGCGAATCTTGCTGTTCCCCAGCCCAGAGGGCAGAATTTCTACCGGCCTCCTGTGCCTTCGAATCTCTCGATCAGCACGCGAAGACCCTATGGCTCGATTGGTGGTGGTTCGGTTGGCGGTGGTTCAGTGCCACAGGCCTCATCTCCCTTGCGGGGGGCGCCGCCTCCGCCTCCTCCGGGGCCGCATCCCTTGGCTCAGGTTGAGCCGCCTCCTGGAAGTCTAGCAAGACGTCACACATCGGCTGATATACGGGCACACGGGTGGCAGCCCAGTGCCCCGCCGCCGCCGTTTGCTTCAGGGCCTCCATCAGGACCGCCTTCCGGACCTTGGCCATCTTCGCCCAGCCGACTCGCGCCGGAGGACCAGCGCCTAAGGGAGTCGCTGTCCACCTACTCACTGCAAAACGCGACCCAAGTACGGCCTCTATCGCGACCGACCACACCTCCTGGCGCACCCTTCTCGAATGGTGGTGGTGGGGATACCTTTGGCAACTGGTCGTGGAACTCGGCCAACCGGGACAACAAGAATTTGGCCATCAGAGATCATTCAGGACCACCCACGCGTCGCGGAAGTATGGCGCATATCCTCAACCCGACTGACACGGCTGAACGAGACGACGAGGATGAGGATCCCCGAGGCGACGATGATCGGAAGCGCAAGCGTATGCAGTGAGCAAAGCAATTGCCTCCTTCAGGGTCGTCCGTTGGATCCTTATGCATGGCACACTCCTCGCACGCGTGCCCGTACATTTCTATATCAGATAGACACATCTATCCGATGATTTCCTGGAAATATTCCTTTCCTTGTATAGAAGAAAGGGGGATCATACTCGGATCAGTACACGATCTGCACAGATGCATATCTAGAACCAAAAATTCCAGGATCAAGACCCGAAACACACACGAAGCCAACGGTCACTACATAATACGATTCACCGACGGTCAATCTCGACTTACAACCGGATTTCTCAATCGTCAAAAAGTTCAACATTGATATCAACCATGTGTTATTTACTGCATCACGGCCGAACTGCGTGAAGCAACAACATACTATAAACTAGCAACTCTAGTAATTCAGCGTCACAATGGCGTCTCATCGAACAGAACAAGTGCGGATCCCACATCTCATTTCACATTATTCACTCTCGGATGGAGGCTGTGTGTTTGCGGTCGGAGCTCAGGAGACGGGATACCCAAGGGACGTCAGGCGGCAAGGTTTGTCAAGATTTGTCCAAAGCTGTCCATATCGGGGTGTAATTTGCGACATCTGCATTTGGGATGCGAGAGGAAATGGATAATCATTCAAAAAATAACATGTTCACATCTGAATATTGAGGTATTTGGTCAGGAATAGCAGCAGTGTGTGGCTTGCAAATGGCCTGATGGCACATGCTCAACAAGTCTTGGCTAGATCTAATGCGAAGATGCAATGACCAATATTGTGACAGCCAGCCAATCCGCGGCAGTTGTGTGATTCGACAGTTTCCGAGACTTGTCGCTGGTGCCTACCGCACATGCAATTCCCAGAGGGTCTCAAGGGATGAGGGCGGCGGTCTTGGCGAGATGATGTCCCGGCATCTCGGGCCAAGGGAGTCGCAGTGTGTCGCTGATCCGCAGTCTGCACTCGTCATGTGCGGAACTATGATTTCCCCTAGGCCACTGATATCTTTTGAGCGGCTCCGACGCTACCTTCTCCTCCAGCGGCAGCGGCCGCTGCCATCTTGTTTTTCTTGTTCTCCTTGTTCCGCTTCTTCTTATTCCTTTTCCGTTCCTTGGTGGCTTCGTCTGTCTCGGGTCGCTTATCGGCCTCATCCCCCTCGGCGGGGTCCATCGCCGCTATTTCCGGCTGGATCGGACTAGCGATCGGGGCATCCTCTTTGCTGTTTTGGCCATTGTCGTGTATTTGATCTTCCGTGTCGTCCAATCCGCCCTCGCGCATCTCGACATCGCCCCGTTCCCGTGCCGCCGGGTGTACGAGCGCCTCGGGTCCGGCAGACCCCCCCTCCTCCTGATGGGCTTTGGTCTTCTTCTTCTTGCTCTTGCCCCAGCTGCCTCTCCCTTCCTCCTCGTCGCTCTCGTCGTCTTGTAGCCTGCGCTTCTTGAGCGCCGCGGCGGCGAGGGCTTTCGGGTCGTCTGCGGCGCGACCTCCTCCGCGTTTGTTGCCGAGGAGGCGGCGGCTTAGGTCCCGCGTTGCGGCGGAGGTGGTCTGGTCCGCTTTGGAGGCCGCGAAGCCGAGGCCCGTGTTTGGGTTTTCGAAGCGGAGGTCCGCGTCGTCGGCGGGAGCTCGGGGGCGGCTGGTTGTTGAGGTGGCTGTGGTTGTGGTCTCGGTTGAGGAGGTGGGTTTCGACATTGATGAAAAGGTGCCTGGCGTAGCGGCGTTGCTGGAGGTTGTTGCTTGTGTGGAGGAGGAAGATGATCGTGCTAGGGAGGGGTATTTTGCGCGCATCGAGGTGAGGAAGGTTGCTTGTTTTGCGGAGGCGAGGGAGATGCGGTTGTAGAGGGCGTTGAAGTCTGCCGAGGCGGGGAGTTTGGGGGCTGCCGTAGAGGCGGACGGCGATGCTGGCGCCATTGTGTATAATTGATGTATACAGATGAATATTATTTTCTATGATGTGGCTGCTGTATGTGTTGAGGTACTTGGGGGACTCAGAGGTTTGGTCACACGAGTGCGTTGGCGATCTCGACGTTGCGACAGGTTGAGGCTGTTGACGATCGGCGTCTAGAAGATGCGCAGAAGCGACGGGAAGGACGACTAAAAAATTTGGGGACTGGGGGGGAGTTCGTTGGCTCGTGCTCAACGTCTTATCGTCGTTTATCTTAGCGTGGATTTTCGGGTGCGCGGGCCTGGAAATTCGAACGAACAGGGGGGGGACAGAGGTGTGTTCTTTGCTGCGGGCGGCGGTGGGTGCAACCTTCTCCACAAATCGAACGTTGAAGGATCTTTTGCAGCGTGACGGGCAGGAGCGGGTAATTTTGTTGACGTCGGCCCCGCTCCGGGTCCGGGCCGAGAACGGGGACGGTCCGGCACGGAGGATGTGAGTGCATTTGATCCAATCCATTAGGCAGTCGTAGACAGCGGTCATTTTCTTTTTCAAGCTTCACGAATCTCTGAGTATTATTTAATTGCTGAAGGGGATTTAAGAACCTAGGGATAACGTGCATCATGGTGGTGCGTTGGAACTAAGTACGGATAGTATCCAGGGTGCCAGGGCAACCTCGGGATATGGCTGGCCTGCATAGAACCAAAGAGGGAAAACCTGAAGACCTAAGAGTGATATGGCCCTCATAATACCAGGGTGAGAATCTTCTCGAAGGAGGGTGGTTCTCAGGGCTCAAGATCGCACGCCTTTTCGAACTGTCGCGAGGGACTCTGGGATATCATGAGGCATTGCTTTCGATAAACAGGTCTCTCGAATAATCTCCTTTTATATGCAAGAGCAGTCCTGGGAAAACCGGGATCTTTGGAGGTCGGAGGGTACTTGGTTCTTTCCTCCTTCACTCCTGTCACTTAAGTGATTCGGGTGAAATGGTCGAGGGGTTCATGGGGGAAGACCCGAGTGTGGATCTCAGTCCCCTCGACCATTGACCTGACACCTAAGTTTTTGGTTCGATTCCTTATCGGTGAAATACTTTTTCTACTTAACGATTTTTTTTCTTCTTTGATTTACGGCCTTTCTAGCTATTTACTCAGACGGGGTCGGTCTGTACCATGAATTCCAAGTACATTTTTACGCGGCGAACGTGAGAACGGCTATGAAAAGAAGTGCCCACGACGGGAATTGAACCGCCAAGAAACCTCAATATCGAGATACTCGAGGTACAAAGATTCACGCGGGCAACAGAATATCGCTTAGTAAGATAGGTAAAATAAAATGCACGCGAATGGCAAAATAGCAAGATATGTTGCTGAAGTGCGACGCCCCGGGCGAACAACAGACTTTAAATGGCAAGGTCGTATGCGCCAGTGTGAGAAGACACAATCAAAACTTTCTGCCAAGTGCACCCTCTCATCACCCCGACAGACTCTCCAACGCGAACAGTCATGAAGGGTGCAGGCTGTGAGTTGAGCCACAGAGGCGATGACGGCGTTGGGATGAATGGCCAGGGGCGGACGGAATACTCAGGCACCAATGGCACAGAGTACCATCCAGCCGCCTTCGTGGAAGTAAGATTCACCTATGAGGCACTACCGCAGCTACTGATGTTGATTTTGTCCAATTTAAATGGAATTATTTGAGCTAAATCATCTCAATAATGTAACTTTTAGTCAGTGATGATGGAGTTGAAGCTTTACATGATTTGCGGAAAGTAGGTGTCAACCATATGATGGCACGAGCGATGGATCGGGGGCAAGTCTTTGCGCAAACTATTCCGCAAAGTGTCTTAAGCGTATTTCAAGAGAATTGAGCGATTACATGATGATTGTGGCCTCTCATGTCTGGCGTCTTGATGTTGCTGAGATCCCTGATCAACGTAATTCAAATCTCTCCACACTCACGGAAGCGTCATCAAGCTTAGTCTTCACCTCACCATACATCATCCCGGCTACCCAACACGTGCCAACCAGGCTCCAAGTCGCTTCGCCTTCGGTCTTTCTCAAGATGACAGGCACCGAAGACCCTTTCAGTACACATACGACATCCACAGCTTCAGCCATGTTTTGTCGGGAAACGCCAATGTAGTTGCCCTCGGCTCCTCCTATCTGCAACATCCCGCGATCACGCCAGTCCCAGGCGCTCACACCCGACTTCACCTGGTCGTGAACCTCAGGTGAAAGGCCATCCTCTGGATTCCATTCTGCGAGCCTTTCCAGCCATGGGCCCTCGATTTCATGGCCAGAAATAAATGCTTTCGAGAGGCTACTATTGAACGCCTCACTGCTGCTGTCGTCGAGGCCTAGTAGCTCGAATAGGCGCTGTCCTAAAGGTTCACCTGCGAATTCTCGATCGATGTACATCAAGTGAAACAAGAAGCCGAGAGCCATCTCAGCTCGGGCTTCGGGGTACCGAAAGAAGACAGCTTCACCACGACCGCCTGATTCGAACACCGCGCGAAATACGGCCTCCTGCGCAGTCATCCCATTGTAAAACTGATCATTACTAGTTACCAGTTGTTCGGTGAGTTTGACAAGCTTATTCTCAGTATCGAATAATGTTGGCTTCGGTAGGTTGCGAAGTACCTTGCCGATACGAATGCCGGACACCAGTAAGTGTCTTTCGCCCGAGATGTTCGCATCTGGGACATTTGACCCGAAAACTCCATTATCAGCGTCTCCTATGATCGGCTCAAACAACCTATTTGATTCACTCCATGCGTGTGGGTAGTTCGGAACCCACGTCGGGAGGTCTGGGGTGACCAGTGGTTGAGTCGCCCCCATGGTCATATGTAGGCCAGCCATTGGAAGAAGTTCAAGCTCTTTGCCTCGTCCTGTTCGTTTCCAGTATGCAAGATTCTGAGCAAAGTACTCGACATATACCGAAGCGACCGAGACGTCCGGACTGTAGTCGGGAATCAGGGGCAAATTGGTGAGACCAAGCAAGCCATAGATATTATCCTTGGGGTCGGTGGCGGAGAGGGTGTGGTTCCAGCTCATCAATTGCCAGCCCCAGCTCTCCCACTCGTCTGCACTCAGCGTTTCTGGTCGTTTGTGTAGGTGTTTTGCCTTCATGAGTCGCATGGGATTGTGCCATGGCACCCTATCGGACGACGTGATGCTGAGCCAGGCAGATTCAACCATCCACGAAGGCTTCTGCAAGTAGCTCCGGATCTCTTTCAACCTTCCAATCCAACTGCATGTGAGGAAAAGCGCTATCCAGTCAACAGAAGACTTCCCAGACAACAGAACCAGGTTCTCTGCGAGGACAATCTCTTGAACTACCCATACGCGAAACCAGTAAGGTAAGGTGAAAAGAGACCGAACGCTCTTCCACGACTGATTGGAATGCCAGTCGTTTTCAGGTCCTATATCAGCCAAGATGAGCTGTGGCCAATCTTTCATCCAGCTGATCAGTTCGTGCGGCTCAACTCCTCCAATGTGGCGTCGTCCTACGACTTTGTCCATTTCGTGAGCCACCAGGTTGATCGTTTCAAATGCTGCGCCAATCTCCTCGGTATCCGTTCCGAGCCACGAGAACGCGAGCTCGGCACTCGCGTAAACTCGCCGCATCAGTTGCACTTGCTGATTTCGTTCTGCGACATCTTGTTGGTTGATGCAAAGGGCATCCACCCAGAGCCTGAAGCCTTGCGGATGTCGGCCAGGAAACGTGTCTATCCAATGATCTTGGAGATGCTGAAGAGCGTGGAAGAGGTTTTTGGTTGCTTGAAACTCCTGGTCGTTCAAAAGGATTGACTCAGTGATGGAAGCATCTCCCCAGACGTATGATAGGGCTGTGTATACAGGCTTTTCGTCGAGAGATACCGAACTGAGTCTCAGGGACGGCTGACCAGAGAAGCTGACATATTCGAGAAGCCTGATTTCTGACTTGCCAGCATCGAGGGGTTCATACAGCGGCATTGCTTCTTCAGCGTCTTGCTAGCTTGTTAAGCCCCCTTCAAAAAGCACACGGTCGTCACCTAGTCGATATTTTGACTGGCATATCCCATCATGGTGTGCCTGATGAGGCCATTCGTGAATAGATGCCTGCTGTCAGATACATCTCGCGGGGAACCGTCCTATTCAGGCAAGGTGGTCAACGAGAGGCAGGGGAGTTGTGCAGGCGAAGATGGCGTTGGGACTTGCTGGGAACAGGGGAGCTCCATTGGCTGCACGAGCCATTTGGTGTACCTGCAACACCTGCCACAAGGCGGCATCGCCCGAGACCTCCCCGCGGACCATGACTGGGGTCCCCTAAGACACCTGGAACTCAATTGTGGACGTTTCTTCCGACTTCACATCACACCGCGGACACCACCTCGTTTCCCACACCGGCGGCCATCATGCCGCGTAGCCGTGAGAAATATGGCAAATCTTCAGGTTCTACAAGCATCATAACCATTGAATAGCCCAGAATCCCAATTCCTCACAGAGTCAGCCTCGGTGGCTAGAGCCCAAGCGTATATTCAATTGGCGGGAGTTGAGTGTGGCTGAGAAGTTCTTTGTTCGCCGCCGCCGGCCGCCGCCATCCAACCGTGTATCAGTCACACTGGCGGTTTCGAAACATACCAGGGTAAGGTATGTAGGCTCTTGATAAGAATTGGGAAAGAATTGGAGATCGAATAGCTGCTTACCACAGAGGCGTGGCAGTTGGAGCCTCGCGACCTCGGCCTAAATTGAATACTGCAACTTGATCTGCCATTCCTTCAATCTTCAAACAAGCTGCCAGGTGACTGTTCAGCATCCTCGTGTAACATTAGCCAATGTAGCACCGAGAAAAGAGCGATAAACCAGGGTGGTGGCAGAAATGTCCCTCATAACGCGATGTATCCCTACCTCTCCAGGGCCGAATCAGGAGTAAGGCTATTCCGCACCCACACGAAGGCTATCCCACACCCATACTAGGCCTACTCAAGCAAATAGTGGTCTTCACGTGACTGTACAGCCGCAGCAGCCACATTTGACCCGGAATCTCTATTATTCCGGCAGTTCTAGAGGGTTGGAAGGCGCGCTTCCACTGCACCTTCCACAACTGCACCTTCCACTGCCTATTGCACCTTCCACTTTGCCCTCTTCTACAATGTCGACTATGCGCGCTTTTCAAAATCAAAACCACGACTTCAGAAGCCAGTCTTTGCTCAGGGAAAATACATCTCTAGAGCCCATATTTTAGTGCTCAGAGAGGTACTTATCCTGCTTCAAAAATGACCAAAAAAGGTGGTGTTACGCGTCAAAACAGAAATAATGGGAAGGCGCGCGCCCATGACCTAACATGTGGCTGCTGCGGCTGTGCAGTCACGTGTAGTCACGTGTAGCCCACTATTTGCTTGAGTAGGCCTAGTATGGGTGCGGGATAGCCTTCATGTGGGTGCGGAATAGCCGTACTCCGAATCAGTGCAGCATGGTGAGCGGCTCAGCAACCATCACCTATTGCTCGCATTCCAGCAAATCAGAATACAGGGACACCACATGGCCGAACTTGTGGCTGGTTGCCTGTCGTTTCTGCCTTCGATCACCATCCCAGCCAACCAGCCAGAAGCACTAGCCACAGCATGCACGATGAAGCTTCCATTGAAGCCCTTGGATTTGTTAGCTGCAGAACACCAGCCACAATCACTCCGGAGACAGTAACGGACTTTCCGCAGTGTCCCCGACCTCAAACGCCGGCAGGGACCTCATTTCCCCGACAAGAAACATGTGCAACGTCTCATTGAATGCCGGTGCCGTGTTATTAGCGCCTTGGAGACCTCCGAGAACCATGTGGTGGAGACTACGAGATTATCCCTCAAGATCGTCGTGGCTTATACCATGCATGCTGGGCAGTATGTGACCAGTATTCTTCCGGGGTCCAAGAGTAATCTTCCCAAGTCGACACACGAGCTTCTCCTAAAGGAAGGTGTCCAGCGTCTTTGCATGTTCTCGAAGGATGAAAGAAGACTGCCTGAGGGGCTCTCGAACGGGGACGATACCATGAAGGGCTTAGACAGCCTCTCGACTTGCCACGCACCGGGTTTCTGGGACGCTGGAAGTGGGTGTAACGGCCCGTAGCCTTAGGAGGAGCAATCCAGGTTGGATCCGGTACGACAAGGGGGTGTGAAGCAGTATGCGAAGTTGGTCATCTCCAGTCTGGGGCAAATCACCGGTGACGGTGGGATGGCGGTTAAACCAAGTCCATGTGCGAACGGCCGCGGGTCGCCGGCGGACCATTGTGTTATTCTTCCTGTGTCGAGCTCGATGTCTCTTGCTTAAGTTAATTCGGCTTCGAGAACAGCATTGGAAGCTCGCCAGTACCTCATGTCCGTCCCAAACCTGTTCACCTTGACTCGACTACCATTATATACAGTCTTCCCAGCCGCACTTGGCCAAGATTTTGGTCATGTATAAGACCCTCCCCTCGCCAGTATCGTAGAGGACATTGTTCTAGTAAGTCGAGATCACCGAGCTTCAATGTAATAACTTCATCGAGGAATCTCATCCATTTCTCTGAGTCCCGGCCATGTCTTCTCCTGGTTCTAGTCCTGATCATGGGATGTAAGTTGAAGCTCTGTCTCTCCATTGAGAAGACTGTGTTAACCTTTCTTTAAACCCAGTGATTCAACTCGATCTCGAATCAATCCTCTTGATAATCACATAACTCGACAATCCCAGCTGGCTCGGTTTCAGCAGGAACACCTCCAAGACGGCAACACCCTTGTGCCTCTTTCCCACAATCCTCGGGACCTGAAGTCTGCCATCTATCACCACAAAAGCCGAGCAAGTAGAGCCATCAAAACCTTCCAGCAGAGCTTTACGAAACACAAGTCAGACGATTCAACGGACTCACCAACCAACAAGCCCAGCTCTACTAGAGTAAACTAGAAGAGTGGCTGAAGTGTGACTACCACACGAGTGCTAAAGCAGAAAACTTTGGGTAATTCCATACAAAACTTTTACCTAGATCGTTGCTCACGCATTTGATGTTGAAGAAGCACGGAAAAGATCATCTCAGAGTTAGAGATATGAACTGCAGGCGTGGCGGTATCAGTGTAAAGATATGTTTAGCAATGAAGATATAAGGGAAGGACTTTCTTGAGAAGAGTAGAGACTTTGGGCTGGTCTAGCCTCCAATCGATTATAATCTCAACTCCCCTGCGTCAATTTCGACCTTGGCTTCCGCCGATTGATGCAAAGACACACTTTGGTCCGTGGCGTTTGTAATCCCAGACATATGCATAGCTGCATCTCGAAAGGACAGCGGTGCATTATTGCGCGTGCGTGATCTTTTGCTCACGGGCTCAGCTACTTCCGGAATTGGGCAGCTAACATCAATCTCGAACGAATCCATATCACTCTGCATCTTGCCAAGCATACTTCCCCAAACACCGGCTGCATTTCCGCTGTTCCGGCCAAATTAGGCTTAAAGACCGATCATCCAAGCCGGTGTAGTATGCACGAATGGGTTGACGAACGACGTTCAGTCCAATCACTCGGCTGGAACGGAATTCGAGAAACCAACGAGTGGAGTTACTGGCGCTTACGCCGTACGAATACATTTTTGTGAATGCATAACAGGGTCACCTCGCTCCCAACAGCTTCGGCAAGGAAACAGCATTTAACCCCAGTCTTTCCCCTCAATCTTTGATCTCCTCCTGTGTTCGAAACAACACACACAAGCTGCGCATATTCCAAGCAAACAATGGCCGAGACTATAGAAAATGGTACAGTCAACGTATGGATTCCAGTATCAACAGAAATTCGAAACCATATTCCGAACTAACAAAGAAGACAGAATCCTCAAGACCATGATGATGCCTCAACTATAGATGACAGTGTTAGTATTTCATGCAACGATAAGCGACTTCCGTAATGTTGACAAAAATAGTCCATCGATGATTCCCTGGCTTCTCTGCGATCGAGTATTCTTGATTATCGCAGGGAAAATGGACGCACGTACCACAGAGTCAGTGATGGGAGTAAGTTTGTCTTCATGTTTAGCTCTGACAAGTGATTAATGAGGTCATCGGACAGAGTACTATCTTCCTAACGATGAGGTGAGATCTCATTCGTATCTCTAGGAGTTGTTTTGACTTACTTAAATGCACAACGCAGACGGAAAAAGACCGTTTAGGTACGTGCCCCTCTGCTTCCTAGGTTTTGGGCGCCCAAGCCAACAACTCATTTTAGATTTCACCAACCATTTATGGATACTTGCATGGGACGGAAACCTTTGCAACTGCCCCAAAGTCAAAGGCGCCAAGCGAGTTTTGGACGTTGGAACCGGGACGGGTATCTGGGCCCTTGATTATGGTAGGTAGACCAGCTTGAGTTTACCTTGGTGCGGTGTCTGATGTTCGGTTGCTAAAATTCTCATAGCGGACGCTCATCCCGAAGCAACCGTATGTCGAAACAACTTTTTCCCAGGATACTGAATTCCATTGACGAGTCAAGCCAGGTTATCGGTGCCGATCTGAGCCCTATCCAACCCGCTTAGTGAGTGGTTCTTCGCTGCCAGCATGAAAGTGACCATATAATGACCGTTCCCAACAGCGTTCCGCCCAATTGCAGTTTCGAAATCGATGATCTTGAGAAAGAATGGACTTGGACCGAGCTTTTCGACTTCATATTGATTCGATCAATGGTTGGAAGTTTCAGCAGCTGGTCTGACACTATCAAACAAGCTTACGAGTAAGTCCTCCTCCTCAAGGCATAGGTGGAATTCTGCTTTAGCTTACGATAACTCAAAGCAACCTGGAACCGGGAGGCTATCTTGAGATCCAAGACAATGAGTTCCCTATCTTCTGTGATGATGGTTCCATGCCTGAAGACTCTCAAGTGCTGAAGTGGACTCAGCTTGTTATTGAAGCCACGAACATTGTGGGGAAGTCAATGACTGTTGCGCCTACTTTCAAGCAATTGCTCGAGGATGCCGGCTTTGAAGATGTCCAGGTACGCCAAGAGAAATGGCCCATTAGCCCATGGCAGCAAAAGGATCCGAAGCAGAGGGAGCTGGGGATTTGCTGCCGAGCGGGTACCCTCGAAAGCCTTGAGCCAGTCTGCATGGCCTTGTTCACGCGCGTGCTTGGCTGGACTCGAGAAGAGGTCTTCGTATTCTGCGCTGGGGTCAGGGATGAATTGAAACAGCAGAAAGTCCACGGCTACTTCAATGCGTAAGTCCTAGTCACCCATTCACACCTTGCCGTGTAGTACGGGTCATTTAACTAATCGGAATAGATATGCTGCTTGGGGCCGGAAGCCCGAGAAGAAGGAGGGGGAGGAGGAGGCCAGTTAGACATCTGTGATATTTTGCACATTCTTCTTTCTCAATACAAACTGCATACTCTTCAACATGCTACCCACATGCCGTTTATCAATAAGACGGCATCCTTGCCTGCTGAATGCCTGTTGCAAACATGGCTAAAAAAGCCTGGCAGGTGGGAAACGCTGCACTGTCGTACGATGTGGTACTCTCAAAGGGAAGTGATCCAGAAAGGAACTGGTGCTGCGGCAATATTACTCGGTCATTCTGCCTGTATTAGTTCTGAGCACGCCCAAGAGTGATGGAGCTTGCATTCACGACCCTTGTCGTACAGCTAGCAAACATGCAGGCCCGGTGATACGATGACAGCGCAAGCCAATCACAATTGATACATGCTGGCCTCTAAATAATAACAAGCGGGTCTAGCGAATGGTTGTTGGAAGTGTAGAAGAATGGTGGCAAGGGTAGCCAAGGGGCAACCAACAGTCGGCTCTCCTCCTTTCCCCTCATTTTTCCAGCTGCATTTTTAAGCCTGTCATTGCCATTCCATGAACATCAAGACAGCTGAACCAACTTACAAGTCAACATGGCAAATGACGCGCAACTTCCGGGAAACGTGGGTGCAGTGCCATCGTCCACGTGAGCGGATGAGTGTGCTAACTTGATGAATAGGATGATGGTCCTGACGAGGAAACCTACTACATAGGAGGATCTGTGTGTTACCCAGACTCCTGATAGATTCCTCCTACTAACCACACGACTTGCTGGCTTCCTTGAGGTCCAGTATTTTGAACTATCGTAAAGAGAACGGCCGGACGTACCACAGGCTAAGTGATGGAAGTGAGTATCCTTCAGCCTGAACATTTGACATGCCACTTACAAGACTTTAACACAGGCTATCACGTTCCCAACGACGAGGTGCGCTAGGACGATGGAATCCAAGGGACTGAATTGCTGATGCATGATGTAGCAAGAACAGGACCGCCTAGGTACGTATTCTAAGTGAAGAAGCATCGAGAAGGAAACAGAGTACTAAGCTCGCTAGACAGATTTTGCTCACCATCTTTGGAAGTTAACTTATGATGGCAAATTATGTAACTGCCCCAAATTATACGGCGCTAAAAGAGTTCTTGATGTTGGAACCGGAACTGGAATATGGGCTCTTGCGTATGGTAAGTCTGCTGAGTGGCTTCAAAGGCAAATCATGGAGGTACTGATGGCATGAAAGCGGATGAGCACCCCGGAGCTTTTGTAAGACGACTAATGTCTGCAAAGTCATGCATTAAACAACTCTAACATTCAGATGCACAGGTCTTGGGTGTTGACCTGAGCCCTATACAGCCTGAATTGTGAGTCGACTTTGTCCCGGTGAGAAGAGAGTTGGCGTACTGACCTACCAGCGTCCCTCCGAATTGCCATTTCGAGGTTGACGATATTGAGAAAGAGTGGATTTGGTTAGAGGCATTCGACTTCATATTTTCTAGATCTATGAACGCCTGCTTTAAAAGTCGCACAGACTTCGTAATCCAAGCCTTCAAGTTGGTCGCCCAAGCTCTGCTGTAGTCTTACATTTATACATAACTGACCATCTGACAATGTAGGAATCTTGAACCCGGTGGATACCTGGAAATGCAGGATAATGGCTTCCCTTTGCTTTGTACCGACGGGACTATGCCAGAAGATTCATTGATATACAAGTGGTCTCAGTTGCTCGTTGAAAGCACCGGATTGATTGGACAGCCACTTGATGACGCCCCGAAATTCAAGCAGATGCTCGAGGACGCTGGGTTCGAAGACGTGCATGAGAGGAAGGAGATATGGCCGATTGGGCCGTGGCCCGAAGAGGGCACCAAAGAACATGAATTGGGCATGTGGTGCCAGTCTATCACCATGGAAAGCCTGGAAGCCCTCTCGCTTGCTCTATTTACTCGCGTTCTGGGATGGTCGCGGGCGCGGACGTTGGTGTTCTGCGCTGGAGCTCGAGAGGAGTTGAAGCAGCAAAACATCCACGCCTATTTCGATGTGTAAGTCAATTGCCAGATGTCTTAGTGGGAAACTTGACTGATAATTCTCTAGCTATGCAGTCTGGGGTCGGAAACCTGCTGAAAGAGGGAGTGCTTAAACATACATGGTATTTGGCAGCTTCCTCTTTCAATTGATGTCCTTATTTGACAGTTTCCATAGAATTGAGCCATAATGCTTTGCTAAAGCAAGAAGTTTTGGACGCCCGTTCCCTGACAAGCATGTCCGTTTGTAATATTGAAGAGATCGTAACCGATGTGATGCCTCGTCACTTGCGAACCAAGGACCCGTAAATTCGGCGCTGTTTTGCTGTATTTCGATTTATTGTCCACCACGGGACACTGAATGATGGTTCCGGGCACCTTGCATATGCATGCATGAGATGATAATGATGGCAAAATCCAATCAAAAGTAAACAAACACAGTTCTGCAAACCAACAGAGGGATGCAAGCGGGGGGCGATGCATCAACATGGAGAAGACGACCAGGGGCCCTCTCGATACGGAAGGACGCGAGATTACATTTACCCAGCCCTTTGCCCCCTCACTTGGAACTCTTCCTCACTCATAGTTCTGTTCTTCATCATTGTTTACACCAAAATTTACTCGGAATCTCCCTTGCTCGACATTGTAAGATGGCTGATCAGGCACAGCAGCCGATAATAGCTGCGGTAAGTATTCGGCCGCAATGTCCTATGCTCATTGCCCATGAGATAGCAAGTTGTGACTGACATGAGTTCCAGGAACCCGAGATCGACGATGGTGCATCCTCCATCGATGGGTCGGTGAGAGATATTTCTCAGGCTATTTGACTTTGGATTTGGGTTGACATCATGTAGTCCATAGACGACTCGCTGGCTTCTCTGAGGTCCAGCATCCTCGACTACCGCCGAGAAAACGGTCGGACTTATCATCGGCTCAGCGATGGAAGCAAGTTACCATCTCGCCCAACGCCTTTTGCGAAGGCTAACCTTGTCTCATCGTGAACAGAATATCTCCTTCCCAATGACGAGGTACTAGTCCATGACTCTCTCAACGATTTGCTCATTTCTAACGGTTGACCAACTTCAAGCGAGAGCAAGACAGACTTGGTAAGCAAGCCGAACGCCGCGTGGGCCTGTTGAGTCAAGCTCATTTGTTGCCAGATCTCACCCATAACCTGTGGCTACTTACATGGGATAACAAACTTTGCAACTGCCCCAAGAACGCTGGTGCCAAGCGAGTGCTAGACATCGGTACTGGGACTGGCGTCTGGGCCCTAGACTACGGTGAGTCAATCCGCCTTCTATGTAGTGTAGTAATAGCGACTAATATGGATGTAGCGGACGACCACGCTGAAGCTATAGTAATTTCCAGCGAAAACACAAAAGGCGGTTGCAGTCGTTGACTTTCCCCAGGTGCTTGGTGTTGACCTAAGCCCGATTCAACCCGGCTTGTGAGTTCTAGCATCAACAAAGACGATCCCTCAGCTAATACTTGACTGTAGCGTACCTCCAAATTGCTCATTTGAGGTTGACGATGTCGAGAAAGAGTGGCTCTGGTCGGAGCCGTTTGACCTCATCTTTGTCAGAAACATGATTGCGAGCTTTTCTGATTGGCCGGGAATGATCGCCAAGGCCTATGAGTGAGTAGCACGCCTCGATCAGCAGGTCATCAATATTGACACATGTTGAACACAGGCGTCTCGAGCCAGGCGGTTATCTTGAGCTTCAGGACAACATGTTTCCACTCATGTGTCGAGACGACACGATGACGGACGACTTCAAGCCCTTCGAGTGGACGAAGTTGGTCATGGAGGCAGCTGCAACGATGGGTCGTCCGGTCAACGTCGCTGCCAGCTTCAAGCAGATGTTGGAGGGCGCAGGCTTTGTCGATGTCGAGGAGAAGAAGGCCATCTGGCCTTACAACCCCTGGCCTAAGGACCCGAAGCTCAAGGAGTTAGGCTTGTGGGCTCAAGCATCTGCCGGCTCGGGAATTGAAGCAGCCTCTATGGCTCTCTTCACCCGCGTCCTGAACTGGACTAAGGAGGAGGCGACGGTCTTCATTGCTGAGGTGAGGAACGAACACAAAAAGATTGGAGTTCATGCATACTACGACGTGTAAGTGATTGAAATATTGACATCTATGACACAATATCAACTAACGAAACTTCTAGGTATGCTGCTTGGGGTCGGAAGCCAGAGAAAAAGGATGAGGAAGCTGTGACAGTGCCTTCTTGAGATAGAGCATGAACTTATGCTAAAATGGGACCAATCCGGATCGTGCGAGACCCGTTCTCATGAATCTCACATGATTGATGATTAGTCACTACACGACTCGAAATTGAATCGCGATGGCGAAGGTCTAAGAGGGCTTTTGAGGCTTGGGATCGTCGTCGAATAGTATGTATGCATGTAATCTGCCTAAGCGTCCCGGTCCCGTTCGGTTGTCAAGCATCAGGACCACCAGGGAGTATCCAATCGTGAACTCAAAGGGTACGGAGGTAGCATCTGTCTTACTTGCCCTAATAACTTTTCCTCAAAATCCAGGAACACTATTTCGACATGTGCCCTCCGCGTTCCTGTGAGAAGCACGGGGTTCGCACAACATATCGTTATTCTCGAGCTTATCACAGTCAGGCATAGTCTTGAATGCGGTTAGTAGAGGGACGATTTTTATCAGATGTCTGTCGTGGCTAACATGAACCAGACATTTGTAATGTGCTTCATGCACGCTTTGGGCATCTCTATTCTATCATAGGCATTGCATGCTAACGCATCTCATTGGTTCAGCAACGATAGGGAAGTAGCCGAGATCAGCGTTGGAGCATGATAGTCACCGCAACGTGGTGTCAAAGGACGTCTGAAGATACTGTCAATCTTCCAAGGAGCCTGTTGCAGGGCCCAACCGACGATGCTGCCTGGATCATCAGCCGATCCGTGTGAACCAGAATCTCCATGATGTTTGAGATACCGTACTTGAATAACTAAAAGTTTCCTAGGTGTCGGAATAGCTCCATAATCAATGCCGTAGTATTTTCGCAAGTCGGGCTGCGTAGAGAACGACCTATTACCCTGGCTGTAGTCGAACCACATCGTACCGAATCGAGACGCAGAAGCCTAAAGACGGCATTTTGTTGATCTGATTTTCCCGGGGACCTTAATATTTCGGTTCGTACTGTTCGGGGCCTAATTTGAAAAGGTCTCAACTCGTCGTGGCTCAAGCTTCGCCAAAGGGGTATGCTTTCGTTTCATGCTTGAAAATAAATGATGGGCCAAGAGGTTATGATTGTAGACATATCGTGTCGATCGGCCGATCTTGCTGTTCAAGAAAGGGTTCCAACGCTGGACGACTCATGCGTTTTGACTTTGTGGTAAGAAGTTAGTGCCAGGAAGGCTGCTGTATGTTGGCGTATCTCAAGTAGTGACCTGATGATGAAAATGAAGTTCGAAGTGCCAAATATGGTGTCAAAGGTTGATTATTTTCGCGCAGACACCGCTGGGTGGACGAAAGGTTTTCTCGTCTATTCGCTGGTCGAGAAGCTTTTTGAGTCGGGCGAAAAGGGGGCTTGAAGGGAAGAAAAATAACGAGATATGAACGATTGAGTAGGACTGGTCGTAGGGGTGCAGTCCCTCATATGCCTCAGAAGAGAAATGAAGGGGAGGCAGCGGGATACCCAATACCACATTGCTTGGGCGAACCAGCCCCGTAGGCGAACCATGCAGACCATTCGCGGCTCTAGTCAGAAGGCGTGCTCAAAGCTGCCTGATTAGACGTCAACAGCCAGCCTGGTCACTACCTACAGGAACCAGTGTTCAAAGTAAGCTAGCCAAGTTGTGTAACAACGTTATCTATCTGTTTTTGTTGGAGCCTGGAAGCACCTTCAAACTTATCGTGCAGACCGCTGGTCCCAAAAACGATGGCACCTTACTGCAGCCCCCTGAAAAACAGGCCACATGAGTAGGATGAATGACTATCTGCTGATGTGTAAACAGGGCTCTTCGAAAGCGAAGGAATTTGATACGCTGAACTGACTGCCGATTATGGAGCAAGCTGACGTGTCTAAAGTTCTGGCCCGAGGTGAGGCTGGCCAGCGGCATTGCTGCTGTCATCACCGGTCGGGACGACGTTGAGATGAATGGTTGGTCTCAAGTCTGCGCTAGGTGTTGCCATCTATTATCTTCACATGATGAAAGCCAAACCCCAGAGTGGGTGTCAATAAAGCGAGGCGTTTCCTGCGCTGAAAACCCTCCCCATCGCACCGTCGGCAATCTGGCGAACTATGAGAAGAGTCTACCAAGGAATGCGGGACTCGGTTGTGGAGGAAGGCTCCAAGTGACATTATTGTCCGCCAAAGAAGTGTCACATACTCCGACTCGAACATCTCGAATAAAAATCCCACAAAATCTCCAACAATTCCGTTTCCGATTCCAAAGATCTAGGGCCCATTTGACTGGCTCACGACATCGTTGGGTCGAACACAAAGGTGCTTTCATCGAGCTGGTCTCCAACGTGTGCTGGATAGCACGGGGTTGCTGGAACTTCAAGACTCGTCACGAATTTATCTTAGAGGCTGGTCAAATTTCGACACATCGATTTAGTAGATGATGGAGGAGCTCCTTCTCTGGTGGGCTGGTAATGCAGACAAGTCCTGGAAAGGGGCGTTGTATTGATGGCTTCGCCGTCTTTTGTATCGCCTCGTTTCATAGCCCATTCTTAGGATTAATAAACCAAGTTTCAATGAGTGTTATGGATTCATATTTGGTATGGTGTTTACAGCCATGAGACCTTGTGAGATGAACGGACATCAGTTCCATGCTACTTACCATAAAACTATACTTCCACCTGCTCTTATGAAACTGCACGCGAAGATTCGTTACGAGACAAAGTTCTCTCGAAGAAGAAGTGGCTTCTTTAACAAAAATACATTTGTGTCTTTCGATGCCATCACGCAGGGAATGCTCAACTTTGAAGCAATGATGCAATCTAGCGGGAAGCTCATGCAAGCACAAGCGACCGGATAAGAGGGAATTGATTGCCTCGATGAAAGGCAGAGTACTGATCCTTTACTTTGAATCCATAATTTACTCCCGGTCACAACTTGTGCAGGTGACAGACAGTACAATGACGGCGATGGCTTCGGTAGTATCGGCCAGGGCCCGAAGTCTGGTTCAGGGCTCTGCAGTGTGCACAGCTGGTGTACCATCTCAGACCCGGTCCTGAGTGAATTGGTTTGGTCAGACAGGTAATGCCGGTTTTTCGAAAGTCCGATAAGAGACAGTGTCTACTTTGATGAACTGGGCTTCGCTCTACATAAGTACGCTTCCACGGGAGAGGGATGGCGCACCATATTGCGGCTCAAAGTAAGGCAACTAAGCTAAATTTCGAGTCTCTACAACGCACTGGCATGCATGTATCATTGTACCTACGGACACCGAAAGTGGCAACAACGCAAGTTCTGTGCAGGTGGTCTATCAAAGAGGAACGCGATGCTGAAGCATTTTGCTGTCTCTTCAGTTTGAACCTATTCTCATAGCATGGATTTTTCTTATATATTGGAAATGGAGACCTCATAGCTCTCCTGTCAACATGCTTCGTTGCCAGCATCACCGCTTTGCACTGCAGTTGCGTCACCGGTTTGTTTGACTGTTACATGCGCATCGGATCTCGAGAAACACATTGTGTACAGACAGTTGAAAAGATGGACACCACCTCCAACTGCGCAGTTGTCAACGGGTATGGAATACGTGGATCCTTGTGCTCCCCTCTTATCATCATTGCATTTATGCCTACTGTTTGTCGGAATTTCAAACTGATGTCAGACTCTTCAGAGACTTCTCACAAAGATCGCACGATAGTCGAATCGAATATGCCAATGCGGATCGTACGGAACGACTTCAATCCTTTCTAGCAGACAAAGGTCCTGGGACTGTGATGCCTTGCATGACAGCGTCTTCTGAGAGGTCGTTAGTGAAACATCGCGCCAAAGCAAGTCAGAAGATCAACGAGAGCATGGCCAAGTTCGAACGCTGAGAGCAGCTGGGAATCTTTTTGGCGCAATAAATTCGAGTCTGTGACATATACGACTGGTAAGTATCTACGCGGTAGCTAGGCTACACATACTGAGCACAGCACCATAGTGAACAGATCATACAGATTGCGAATCCCATCCGAACTAAAGAAGCGACCCGAATACACATAGCTGTTAAACCTGTCTAGCCTACCGCCAACACGTCGACTAATACCCGATGATCTTGCGATTAGTCAACGGCATGGAGTCGAACCTTGAACGGTATTCTTGTTGTGCACCTCAAGGCCCGATGGCCTGGAACAATGGGGAATACAGGAACCATGACGCACACATCCCAGAGAGGGCGCTAATGGAAGCACTAAGCTGTAGCGGAGAGCTTCAGTGCGTTCCATGGCAGTGTGGGAAGGTACGTTCCTGCTCAGGATTGGGTACAAGATAGTTTGCTCCGTACCTAAGGCACCTTATTTAAGGTCTTGTCCGTTAGGGCACCGATCGTGGTTGGTAGAGTACCTTAGGTACCGGCGCTGTACCAACCGCACAGATTGTGAGGTTACGATAGTGGGCGGGTAAGGTGAATGGTGGTCTGGGTGCCTTGTCCTTGCCTGTGGTGCCAGGCACCGCAGCACGTGCTCCACGTGCTTAGGTCCCTTCGCTGATCAACGGTTGGTCCCGGTCTGCTAAATCTGCCCTTTTTCTCTATGTATTTCTTCTTGGTGGACGACGTATCAGAATGTATATTTTCCGTTTTACCGTTCCAGAACCCTGCGACTGAAGAACCCAATTCTGTTCTTGTAGATTGATACAGGATAAAGCCCAAGCCAACAACCAGTCAATGGGCGCGGGACGTTACGCAGCAACTATGTCGTCAACAAAGCAGCAGGAGCGCAGCACTACCATACCTTCCGAGTCGTCTAGAACCACGTCAGTAGTTTAGGTATTCAATGGGAACGAAGTAGACCAGCAAGGGAAACTTACAACCATTGATGATGCTCTGAGATTTAGTAGCCCCACGTAGACAGCATTGTACACTATACTGACTGGATCACGATCTTGTATACCAATGATTACGGCGCCCGGATGGAGACATCCTGAGGGCCATACCCGCAGGAAAGGACGAAGGATGGGTTTCTTGGGACGCTTTATTGTACCAGACAACCTGGCGCTTCTTTTTTAAACTACCTACCTTACCTAGGTAAGGTACCTAAAGTAAGCTGCTCTGAGCCCCTACCGAAGAGGTACGTACTTGAGCCTTCCATCGCCATCGGGGCCACGGGCTGCACTCCGTCTTTTCGATGCTCGCCGAAATCGAGTTGACACGCCGCGAAGGGAAACTTGAAAACCACCTCGTCTCATACTGGCACTCGGAAAAGTATTAAACAGTACAGATATCTCTAATTTCGGAACCATCCTTCTTGGAATATTCCCTTTGACTTTCATCACTTTCCAAGATTTTGAAATTACCGGAAGTCCTTCTCTCGTCACCCAGAATTCGAAAGGGATTTTGCTGTCAAAGTTGTCGGGGATCGAAACAACAATGACTGCAAACTCCAATAAGTCCATTATTCATGGGTAGACACCTCCTTTTCCATTGATTTATCTGAACTCGTCCTTGAGCTGTCTCATATTCGTTACTGAACTAAGCTGACTTAGTCTTCCGTAGTGGCGATTCACCCCCGTGCCGCAAGGACACCGACGCCGAAGAGAGATTGCGTCTTGGAAGATAACGAATTTGTCTATTCTCGGGGGATAGTGAATACCCCAACCCGATGCTGCCTCATGTGATGAATACCTCTAAGGCGTTTACAAAAAAAAACTATACAGATAAGCGCAACAGAATCATGGTAATAATTTTGTATCTGGATCAATGAGGGCAGGGTGCAACAAAACTTGGGTAATGAATTTATGGATGTGAGTTTCCAAAGATTACATGTAAGTAATTGCGTGACCTGCCTGAATAGACCAGAAAGAAGAATATGCTAATCTAATGCTTATGGTTGAGATGCTCAACTGAGTAGAGGTCGGTAGGTGTTCTGGGTAGCCTGAGACTCGTCCCGTCGCGTACCGACACCACCCTACTTTCTGGAAAGTCCTTCTTTCAACATTCAGGACCCATGACGCTGGGTCGGATGCGGAGTGGAGAGGCATTCGGTGCCGAGAAAGTGGAGAAGTGTTTGCAATGCGGGTACCTGTGCCTGGGTACCTTTCCGAACAGCTCAGCTCGCTAATTCTCGTGTCGGTTGAAGAATCACACCAAGAAATGAAGAATGTCCATGAGGGACGGAGGAAAGGGTACTTAAGGTATCTAGCTGAATACTTAAATAATGGTATTTTAGCGCAGATGCCTTTAACGCCGAGGGGCAACACTTACTACAATGATCGCTAGGCAACTTCTTCTTTTCCTTCACCGTTGATCTTTGTAGGTCCTCGCTGCATTGCCATCAACTTTCTTTCCCGCCCTCGAGTTTCGTGAACCCACACCAAAGACTACCTTAGATGAGCATCTCACTTCCTGCACGCGGATTCAATGCTAGTATTTCCTGATACACAATACGAAATATCCTACGAGGCCCGCAAGAAGAATAGCGCCTGGTCGAGTTTCGGTCTTGGCTAAGTGACCCAAGCAGCAACCCGGGGTCTTCACCATACTGGAGGTATCCGACCAATTAAATTACCTTACCTAAAATGGATATCTGTGGTTGACCGATGAGGATTGCCCCAAACGACAACCTACTCAGTACTACAGTGCCAAAGGTAGGTAGGGTAGGTAAGATAAGTAATGGAAAGTCGGCGCCCCAGGAGATTCCAGCCCCGCCGCGCACCGTTCCAGGATCCACTCCGTCCGAAATTTGGGCTTCCACCACCTAGGCCCGGCATGAACCTAAAAAACCTGGAAGGTACGGATAGCGGACACAGATATGGGTTTGGCAGTATTGTGTCAGGGCATCTCCATGCATCTTATGGAGCGCTTTGTTTTCTCCTCCTCACACTGGGCTTTCTCTAGTTTTAAGTACGTCCAGTGGGGTGCACTTCAAATTGACATTTACCCGAAAACCATGTGCTAAGTCAATGATGGACGCAGCAAAAAAGTAGCATAACAATGTGCCCGCCCAGGTAATTACATCAGTATTCAGTGGCGGGACCAAAAACCCTGGACAGGAATTATGAGAATGCATCCGACGCCCATAATGCTCAGAACAAGCAGGCAAGTGTACTCAGGCGTCAACATCAAGTGCTGTGGAACACCACTCCACATCTGCCGACCACGGTACTCCTTGCTTGACTGATACCGCGAACCCTGGTGAGGAGGCTTGTAAGTAATGCCGCCCCAGAAAGTTATCGCCTCAGAGCGGCTGTGACCCTCATCTCATCTGATATCAGATGAATTTGACCTCGGGACGAGGCAGAGCATTGGTGACTGTATCACGTGTGCAAGTAGTCTAATCTGAAGGGAGCTCCCATACGTGACATATTTACTGAGGCGTTGAGCTTCTTCTCCCACGTGAAGTAAGACCAAGTACCTCTGTACTCAGCCCGTGCTTGAAAACGGTACAGACCGTCAAGGTAGGTAAGAGGCGGAGAGGTGAGCATGTTGCGTCTAGCTTACGAGGGAGGCCTTAACACGTTTATACCGGGACGAGTCTCTCACCTCATCGGTCAAAATTCGGCTGATATACCGATTGTGCCTATGTATTTGAGGTTCTGGCCTGGGAGCCTAAAGTGCCAAATGTCGATGCAGAGGGTGATAGAGATGGGGCGTATGACCTTTCGCCGCCGCATACCCTTTCTCCCTGAATATCTCCCCGGTGTACAAGCGAGGAGAATCGCCTCATTGCTTTTTTTGCACCCATATGCTCTAGTGAGGTATCCGTGAGCTAAGAATCTCGCACTTTTTAGTCCTCATCAGAAAGGGGAGCTGGAGCGAAAAGAAGTAGCTTATTTTCGAGGTCGCGAATGATGTGGCCTGGGGATACTGTGGGGCTGAAGGAAGACTTGTTGCGACGCGATTCGGTCATTGCTGGCTGCAGGCTCTGTAGCCCGTACCTGTGAATGTGTGTTTCGGCCACCATCTTGACATCGACAAGGGTCGCGCGGGGTTCGTTTCCGCTGGCTGAGTAGAAAGGGTCCGTGTCGAGGGCAGGGGCTGCTGCAGAGTTCTGGGTTTGTTCTCCCTCCTGGCCATTCAGATTGCCGGGCGGCGATTGTTTTGGGGCTAAGAAAACCCCCCTGTCTTGGTGCTTATGATACTATTCTAACACCTTTTCCCATGCCATCTTGAGTACCTCGCACAAATACTTCGTTCTCCCGACCTTTTCTCTTCAGAATGAGTTTCCTCCCACTTCATATCACCCTCTTGAGCTCAAGAGTTTCCGGAAACCTTTTGCAATTCTGTACATCGTCATCAGATACTAGGCAACCCGCTCTCGATTTACAATAAAGTGTCAAGCGCCAAACCTACCATGGATTCGCGTTCCAACAAGTCTATTGTCAACGGGTACGAAAGTGATCCTATCTGTATTAGATTGAATGATAGCCAGATGCTACTGGTTGGATTTAGTGTACTGAGCTGACTATATTTCACGCAGAGACGATTCACCTTCGAGTCGTTCAAACACAGACGCCGGGGAGGTGTTGCGTCTTCAGAAAGAACGACTTCGCCTTTTTACACGAGACAACGAATGCCCCAACCCGATGCTGCTTCACACGGTGGGGTTTTCTAAGAAACTCATCGAAACCCATCACAAAGTTAAGCATGATAAGGTCATAGATGCCATCTCTAAGATTGAGAAATGAAAGGCATGATTGATTGAGCTTTGGTTGTGTGGGCAAGCCCGCGCACTTACAAAGATTGAAGAGTATGTACACAGAGAATGCCGCAAGTGTAGACTCTAAGATTCTGACATTACGCTTTACCTAGATTAGAGTACTCGACGCGCTGGAAACTCGGAGCAATCTCGATCAGGCGCTCTGAGCAAGCAGAGACACGGCGCTCTGAGCAGCCGGATACTTACACCGGGGACTACCGACACGGACCCACTTCCGATACCCGTCTTTTGACAGACCAGGGTAACCCCGCAATTCCGCATCGGATGTGGAGCGGACGGGCGACACTTGACGGAACCGTGGGGGAATTCTCGGTCACGTGTCTTGGATAGATACTGAGGTGCAGCCCATGTGCCTGACCTGTGGACGATGCCGATCATATGTCCGTTAGACCGCTGGGCAACTGTTGTCTCACTCGCCTGTCTTGGGGGCTCGCCTGGCCAATCTTTCTCTCCAAGATACGTCGTATGCGAGCATAGCGGTATTACCTTCGGGAATCTCTAGGCGCTTTGATACGCGAGGCTATCCGACGGTTGGATCGCGCATCAAAACCAGGCCGTTAAAGGAATGATTCGAATCGGTGCAACCTCATTTGAGACAATCCGTGCCAGTATTAGCCAGGAACCGTAAAACAGATTTTCTTTGCAGTATGTGATGAAGATAAAGTGCTTAGATCGAATAGAGCGAAGTGCAGGTAGATAAGTGGTTCGCTCGAGTCATTGTGTTTCTCAGACAATACTAAAGTCGATGCTTTGGCCAGAGACTGAGTGACGCAGGGCACCGGGCGTAGGGCGCGAAGGATAAACACGGGTTTCCATAGACCTGCACTGGGGAGGCGGTCGGGATAAGGGGCAAAATTTGGGTTGGCAAACTGGGCACGTATGGGCAGGGACATAGTACTGCGCTCCTGGGACCCAGAGGACATCAATGTCCGATAATGGTCGATGGATGTGGCTGAAAACTGTATTTGGGGAAGTCTCAGAGGGGAAAGTGGTCCATCATCCCAAGCAAGCTCCGGGGGTTGTTTGACGAACACTCGAAGCTGGCGCATATCGATTCCATTGGTTGATAGCAGCAGTCCGGATGGAGGTGAACATCCTCAGGTGCTTACACGCGTGCTCCTGGCTGTCGCTGGCGGTGGTAACTTATGCACGATGACACTTCAGACCATTTTGCCCTGCGGGCCAGGCACTATACTCATTGACATCTACCGTCAAGAGTGTTAAAGTGAACGTTGCCAGAGTGCTAGACCACCTTAACGAACTGTACAAGCCTCATCAGGGACGCTAGTGTCACATTGCATCAGCAACCGAGGATTTAGTGGAGAAAATTAGCAGACAGAGATCAACTAAAACCGAAGAGCAGAAGGTAGAGTGCGGGTCGCTTTTCAATTACTACGTACATAGTACATAGCTGTCCACCCCGGCGCACCCCGCTGAGGATGGTAGTGGGCACCAGGGTTCCTTGGTGTTTCTAGCCCATTGACGGATATATGAACAAGGAGAGGCCTGGTCTTCCACGGGATTGAAGACTACAAGCAAGCCAAAGATTCTGAAGAAGCTTAGATTTCCGCCATGGTGAAGGGGTGATTGCGAATTTTCTTGAGATTTCTAGCCACAGTTAAGGGCAAGGAATACACTCTCTGCTCCAGTGTCTGTCCCCGTGAAGCCCGTAAAACACAACGTTAACCTAAAAACTCCTGGGAACACTCACAAAATTGTCTTGCGACAAATAAGCAAGGCAAGTCTGTGGTTGTGGATTGTGCAACATCCTTCCCTTCAAGTTTTGGCGGCGATGCGGGCGAAAGGACCCCTGTTCTGTTGGCTATTGTGGTAGGAGGGAAAAGTGGAACCACTGTCAATGATCTGAGTTTGACCTCCTGGCCGTATATTTGCAGGGCCGCTATGCACTAGCATGTTAGTCCGGTTGCCCTACTTCACCTGGTGGAGACTTGACTTGCTCCAAAGATCCTGCATATGCAGCAAGCAGCATGTTAACGTGGCTCGGAGACCTCCCCCCACACATCTGTCGATGAACTACAGGGATCAGATATGATACTGTTGCCCGTCGATTTGTGTCCCTTAGTGACTTGACCTCTCCTTCATTTTAGACGTCTATAAAGACGAAGCGTTTCCATGACTTCCTCGAAACCTATCCGGTTCATCTATCCTTCAAGAGCTCGTTTCTCTATCGACCCTGTTTCCGTTGCTATACGTTATCATTTAAGCCACATAATATACAGTAGACATACCTACGCAGCACTTGGTGCGAACCGCCACGTCCAACAGTGGTCAAACACTGTCACCATGTATCCAAGTTCTAACCAGACTACTGTCAACGGGTAAAGCCTAAACGTCTCATTTCACATACCTTGACCTGAAACTTCTACTCTCTCTCTCTCTCCGCGGGAAAGCTAATGTTCATCCTTACTAAGGAGCTCCCCTTGCCCCCAAACCGCAACTCAAGTGCTGCAACAGGAGAGGCTCCAGCAGCACCGCATTCATTCATTCTTGAATGACAACGACGGCCCCAAGACCATGCTTTCTCACGCCCCCACTTCGCCTGATGAGTCCATGGCCAAGCATCGTGCCGAAGTAGCCCGGAAGATTGAGGACATAACGTCCAACTTCAACGGCTGAAATGCATTGAGAAATTCGTGAATACCTCTTAAGTCTTGGGTGTTGGAAGAACACGCTTGTCTCAAACATTCCGCAAAGTGCGTGCACATGCTTCTAATATGGGAGAGACAGACTGACAAGTGTGCTGACCAGACCTTTACCAACCACCATACTGCAAAATACAACACACACCTACGCAGTATACTCGGATCCGACACGGGTCTTGGGCAAGGCTCGCTGCAGCTTACACCGATTGGGTGGTTCCCGGTTCTAGAAAGGCCCCACTACCGGAAAGCACGTACCAAGTTCGGCCCCGTTACTTCGGATCCGGAGAGCCAAACAACTGGAGAACCGTACCGGCCCGGGAAAGTTTCGTGGCAGGCAGCTTTCGTTACAGTCCTTGTGCAAATCACACAAAGCTGGCATGGCACATCCAAGAAGCTTATGTGTGCCGCACCACTACCTCGCAGTGTGGTCGGTACTTGCAGCCTGTTCCGTACACCTACCGGTACATATACCTCCCACGTCGCCAAACTCCATTGGCTGCGCCGCTGCGCCAGCCCGTCAAGTGGTTGCAGCCAGCCAGGGGTGTGTCGACATTCCTAACCCCCAAGTACCATCCCGTCAGGCGCCCCCAGCAGCACCTCGCAGACGGGAGAAGTACTAAACGGATGCCATTCCCCTCCCCCCCTCGAACCTTCCCAGATTGACCTTTCATCTCTCTATTTTCCTATTCGATACGTTTCCTCGCGTACACGCCATCTCGATCCCTTCAATTCGAATCAAACCTTACTATTCCTCGGAGATTTTCCCACACTACCTAAGATAGACCCAAAGTCTAGTTCAACCCCCAAAAAGCCACCACCACGGGTTGCTACAGGCGACGACCCTGTCAAAGCGCGCCTCTACCTCTTCCCGAACCCCGCCGACTTCGAAATACCTGCATGCGAATCGATCTACACGACGTCAGATCGAGGTGCAGATGTCACGGGTTGGAGAACAACGTTCATTGGCTGACGCATGGTGGAACATTGCTTTGGGTGGTGGGACCTCTTCAAAGGAACAGAGTAAAGTTATATGCATGCGATTAACATTAGATAATACAACAAAGAAATTGAGCCGGCCCTTTGAGCCCCCCTTCACACCAAAACGCCGTGGATATCATGCAGTGCCCATAGTCATTCAGTCGTTAATATTTTGTGTCGGTCCAGCTCACGAGGCCCTGGTCTCCCGCAGAGAGAGGATGTAGGGCAGATCAGTCGAGTCCGTCCGCGTCGCGAGTCTAATGACGGAGCCCGAAGCGGAACTTCCTGATGCCCTCGACCGCAAACTGACACTAGATGACGAATGGTTCGGACCATACGCCGGCCGAGTCTGGGCGAAGCTATTCATGCTGGAGGATCTCGATATGGCTCCTCTTAATGTACCCAGCGGGGTAGCCGGCGCGGTGCGATATTGAGCCCACGTATTTGCAGAGGAGTTGCGCGCGTTGACGGTCGGCGCTCTCCTAGTATAAGAGCCTTGTGTGCTCTGTGTCGCAGACCGGGATAAGCTGCGTGGAGTGGTAGGATTTGTGGCCATGGGCGCATCATTGTCGATGTCGCTTTCTGAGCCTTCGCTGGGCTCGTCCAAGGGACCGAGGACTGCCGGATCTAGCGGTCGCATGCCGCGCAGTATCGCAGCAAACAAATGCATCAATTCGCGAAATTGGGCGTTCGAAATAGCCCGCGTAGAGAAGCGCGCATGTTCGTAGGTGGAGAGGAAATCGGCGGTCGTCGCATTAAGCGAGATTACCCCCAGCTCAGCAAGGTGGCCAAGGTAGTCGCGCAGACTCATGGGTAACGGGCGCTGCAGCAAGGCCACCGCATCGGCATCGAGCATCGGTGGTTGACTGAAAGAGGTCGGATCGGGAGGCGCCAGTGTTAGGGCCTTTGCTTCGATGAGATTCGGGAGCTCGGAGAGGACGGTGCTGTACTGTAGATCCGGGAGGTCTAGTGAGTTGGGTGATGACCAGCCGTAGTGTTCGATCTCGCCCCAAACCGGTCTTCGAGGAGGTAGCGCAATGCCAGTCTCCTTTTCTGTTGTTGCCGGCTTTTTCAAGGTCGGTAGCTGAAAGCGTTTCCTTGCCGCGCTACCGCCAGAGTTCTGCTTTTCGACCAGTACCTCCTCCATATCGCCACCCAACAAATTCGTCTCAATGCGCGGCCTTGCGTCGTAGGCAATGGCTGCGCTGCGCTTCAGGTCGGCTGTGATCATTTCGTGAACCTTCTTGTTCACGTCGCCCTTCTCGATAGGAACCCATGGCTTCGGTATTGATGCGAGGATCGTCTTGTTGAGATACAGTCGCGTCGCGTAGATGAAGGATACGATTAAAGTGGTGAGGACCAGAGCGGCGGCAATGATCCATATGTTATATGGCTGGTTGTTCGAATAGGCCTGGTATATGGTGTCGCCGGGGGTGACGAGGAGGAGAAGGGCGAGGAGGAAGCATAGGACGAAGTAGAAACTTCCGTAGATAAAACGGAATATCGCTCGTGGGGAGAACATCGGGGGCGATTCGAAAGGGTTTCCCAGCGTTGAGGATTCAACCCGGGAAGCGACGAGAATGCTGGTTGAGGATCATGGACCGACGAGCCAGTGCATGAGGTAATGGAGCAAACTGGAAAAGCATGGCTGGGCGGAAGAAAGAAGCCTATGCGACGAGGGAGAATTTACCTGTAGCTAGGCTAAGAAGAACAAGTGTGAAGTCTAGACATTACATAGGGGAGAAAAGGGTATAGTACGGTGGAGGGAGAGAATGGAGGTTGGTGAATATGTAAGTAGACAAGAAAAAGGTGGAGGTTGCGCACGCAGATGCGTGAAGGTGACGACGAAGAAGATGACGGACGGGGGAAGCGAGAGGTTGGTTGGGGGGCTTTCATTTTGTTTTAGCAGTGCCTTCCCGGCCACAAAGCAACAAAGCTCAGGTGGGGGTTCCTCCATGCGGACCCCTGCTGATTTTTAGGTAGGCTTTCTATGCTCTAATCCAAAATCCGGTTTAGCGGCACCAGCGGGAAGGCGGCAACGGGCACTAACTTTTCTACATTCCAGGCGCTCAAAGACAGATGCACAATGGGATGGGACGGAATGGGAAGAGAGGGGAGTCTTCGGAATGGAGGAACCTATTTTTTACCTGCCGTGACGCTGCGTTGGCCTTGGGAAAGGCATAAGCCCCATGACTAAGAAAAGGTAGCGTCTGCTGTCTTACACGTGCGCCAGTGCGCAGTCGCGGGCATCCAATCGTCTCGTATCATTGCTCTCGACTAGCTCAAACCGATGAGCTGACGCAGGCAAGGCCGGTTTGTGCGCCTCACTTAACATGTGATGAGACCGTCAATCAGCCCTTCTGTTGATAAAACCATGATTTTGCTGCAATGTTTTACTGCCTCGTGAAATCTGACTATGATACACGTCGTTATGCCGTTATGCGTGCCTGTTTTGCCTACCAAACGCCCCTCACAAAGTATGGTTGTACCGTGACACCACATATGCCAAAGCCTGTGACTAGCGGGCTTGCTGCATCTCGGGTCCTTGGGATCTGACTTCACTCGTGGGAAGTATCTGTTGGGCTGCCGCCTCCTTGGCCAGTCTGATATCCGTGCGAGTCAACCTCAAGTCGCTGCTGTATCGTTCAAACTCCGCAATCACTTGGGCCAAGCCCGTCTTCAAGGCTGCAATCACTGCTTCCACCTCGGGCGCAGTTCTATCCTTCTCAATATCGGTCCAGTGAACGGGAAAGCTGTCCTTGAATGCCTCAATCTTGGTGATGACGGTTGTAAAGGTGCGGATGATGGTAGGAACATCCTTTTGTACCCTGCCGTAATTATCATCATTGAGACTGTGAACGGCCAACAAGCTGAGCACATCAACAGCGTTGACGTACTGGCTCAGTTCTGAGTACGGCGTTCCGAGGATAACGGCGGTGAGGCGGTTGCGGAACTCTTGGCGAAATATCCAGCCAACGTACTCATTGCCAATAACCTTCAGCGCCCATGTCTGGAACTGGTTCATTAGTTGAGGAGAAGACAGCGCCTCTTGCTGCTCCTTGCTCAGAACCTTGTCACGGGCCCCGCGCAGCGTCTTCTTCGCGATAGGGCTCAGCTGCGACACTGGTGAATGGCCGGGGTGGCTTCCCACCTGGGTGAGGGCCTTTTCCAGCTCGCCGCGCATCGTCTTGTTCGCGGGCTTGCTAGTGAAAATAGGGTCCTCCTTCAATGGCGCTGAAGACCGAGCTCGGACTTCCGCAGTTGGCGCTGGGGCAGCCGGCACAGCCGCGGGCTTTCCGTACTGATCGATTCTTTGTTCGATACTCTTGATGGTAGTCAGGCAGTAAATGAATATCTGAGACCACGTAGAACCATCTTTACGGTCGATATCCATGAAGATGGCCTTGCGTCTGCCTTCTTCGTTACGAGCAATGTATGCCAATTCCCAGAGGGCAAAGCACTGTCAGTGTTAGCTTGAGGATCGGTGTATGCTGCCTGATTGTACACTTACCCGAACGGAGTCCTTCTTGCTCTTAAGACCATTCAGAAGACTGCCGTTTGGATCCTTGGATTCACTCGTGAGAGGCTTGCCGTTCTTGAGAGGCGCCTTAACCATGAACGTCGAAAACGCATGATTGGCTGTCTTCCAGATGGCGGTGATCAGGAAGCCAGCAACCGCGCATCGGAACATCAAGTAGATGTCTCCGGGCCACTGAGGCGGAAGCATGTTGGTTTTCGGAAGGTTATAGAAAGGTCGCAAGAAGAACAAAGCCCAGCCCCAGAAGAACGATCGCAATGCCATGAAGTATACCACTCCGGCGACAATAGTGGTGCTGATACTTCTGACGCCAGACTGGATAAGGATCGCAGGGACTTCGCCCAAGACCTTATTCAGCGAAGCATCCCCAGAAACCTTGACTTCGCCTCCCTCAGACCGCGCGACATCGATGATGAGCTTGTCTTGGTCTTGGTAGAAGTGGAAAATCGACTGAACAGCGGCGCTGACGGCCATGTAGCAGAAGAAGATCAACGTTCTCTCGTTCACGCGGGCGCGGTCCCCACTATAGTATGTGACCCATCCCAAGTTGGCGCTCTCCGGCAGGGCCCAGAGGTAAACATGACTGAATAGAGCGCTCGAGAACCCGTAGAAGAGGAAAGCCTCGAGAGTGTGAATGCTAAAAAAGAATTGCGCGAACGCGTGGAAGGTCGAGTTGGAGGCGCGGGCGCCGACGTGGTACTGGGCAATGCGTAGGATCAAGATCGAGAGACCGCAGGTGAAGAGGAACAGTGTTCGAAAGCCTGCGGGGCCAATGGGGAACCAGGACCAAAAGTCTACGAGAGGCTAGTTAGCTGCAAAGCTTCGCAAGCATGCATCTTAAACGTTCATCACTCACAAGAGCTCCAACCCGAGAGGAGGATGGCTTGCAAATAAGAAATAGCAAGCAGAATAGTAGCGGTAGAGGAAAATCGCCTGTGCAGCGCAGGCTGCAGAAAGTCCTTATACGGAGCCCTTCTGACTGTTGCCGGTGCCATGCTGAAGGTGCATGGTCATCGAGACCGAATGTTTGGGAGGCTGAGGTTTGGCGAGGCTGCACTGGGACTTGTGACGGGGCCAGGATCTGGAAGTAAATAATGTAAAAATCTCCAGTACAACAACACGCAGCTCCCGCTTGAGCTTGCTTGAGGTCCAGGGGACCCGCCCTGCACACGGACTGAGCCACATGTATCACGTGGAGATAACACAATCAGGCACCACTATTGCGAACAGGAGCTGATTGGACGGAAGGTGGCGCCCTTACGTAGTGTTCCAGCCACAGCCGACGACGACATGCAGGTTCCTGACCATCATTACGAGTCTATCGTCCGCAGACATCCTGACTGATACTTACTGGCCAAATAAACACATCCGTGAATCACAACGGCGCCGTTCCTTTAGTCCGATTCATTTGTGAATACTTTGCCCTCGAAATTGCAATCATGTCGTACGACCAGTTATCTTCGCTCGAAGCCGGCCGATCGGGTCGTCAAGGCGGATACACCGATGATCCCGAGTTCAAGCAGCTTCAGTCCCAGTTGACCAACAAGATCTTCAACCTGCGGCGCAACATCCAGCAGCTGACTACTGATGTAAACATCCTCGGAACGAAGCGCGATACTCCCCGTGTCAGAGAACGAGTTCACGACCACCTCGAGAAGACCCGCGATCTGTGCAAGGAGATTGGAGATGGCGTCAAGAAGCTCCAGACGTGGGACGATCTGACGGTTCGTACTCCACAGACTACTTGCGCAAAGCCGTACACTAATAAACCGTGCGCATAGAAACAACAAAAGTACGATCAATCCAGAATCTCGACCGACTTCCAAAACGTCCTGCAAGAGTTCCAAGACATCCAGCGCAAAGCACTTGAGAAACAACGAGCGTCCGTCACAGCTGCGCGCGCAGCGACCGAAGGCGAGGGAGCTGATGCGCCGGCTGGATCCGAGGAGCGTCTCGAGCTTCAACAGCAGCAGGAGGTCAGCCGCCTCGCATCACAGGACGAAGTGGACTTCCAGGAAGCGCTCATTGTCGAGCGTGAAGAGGAGATCCGAAATATTGAGCAGGGTGTCGGCGATCTCAATGTGTTGTTCAGGCAGGTGGCTCAGATTGTGACCGAGCAAGGCGAGCAGCTTACTTCCATCGCGGATAACGTGGAAGATGTGCGGGACGATACCCGGGGCGCTCAAATAGAGCTCCGCCAAGCGGCGAGACACCAGAAGGCGGCTCGCAACAAGGGGTGTTGTCTGATGCTCATCCTGGCAGTCATCCTCACCATTATCATTCTCGCAATTGTATTGGACTAGCACGTCATGGGGGTATTGGGGGTTTCTTTATTTGATTGCTGTTTCTACATTGGCGTTGTGGTGGCGTTTCGCGAATATTGTACATCAGGCGCCCAAGTACAGCTAAGGATACAATCTGGGACAGCGTGTCTTCTTTCTCTATCATTGCCATGGCTTTTCTCCCCAAGACTACAACCCCCGCAAGTGTAAGCGCTCGTAATGAGGGGATGGCTTCCAAGGGTCGTGTTTGCCGCGTACTTTATCCATAATCTTGACAGAGATCTGGGAGAAGATCATTGAAGAAATCCAGTAGACAAATATGCCTGCTGGCAATTTGATACAAAGTGCGGGAATCAAGATTGCCGTGAGAAGTAGACCTCTTTGGAGGCGAATTCGCCATCTCAGACCCGGAGGCACATTCTGCTCAGATGTTGAGAGGTTGAATACATACTTCCTCATTTCGCCTCTAGGCATCGTTAACCAGCCCAGAGTGCCCATCAGCATAGCAGGCAACAATATTGTTGGATCGGCTACCGTGAGGTCGGTAAACCATAGCACGCCACCATTTGCCATGCCTTCCGCAACATAGCTTAGTGAATCCAGGTTGCTAGATACAGCATCGGCAGACGAAGAAGCTGCTGCTGATGCCTGTTCCGTAACGGAGGTCGAGGCGACACCGGCTGAAACCTCCTGGTTCTTGTAGTTGCCAGTGAGCAAGGATAGAAGTCCGCTGTTTGCACCACAAAGACGCCTCAGAGATTCAGACATGAGATACCATATGGGCAGGCCGAGTGCTGGGGCCCAAGTCTTCCAATTCTGGGCCCCTAGCTCTTTCAGCATTCGTTTCCGAACCTTGGCTAGTTGTATGGCCCTTGAGAGACGGGTCCCACGAATTACGTGACTCCAGGCGGCCATAAATGGTGCGATTTCTCCCTGTCTTTCAACGACGCGTCTGGCGTAGTATTGAAGCGGTGCTCTGCACAGAGAGATGAGCAAGGCCGAGAACACGATGGTGCCTGTCCAATTTCCCGTCGCGTTCATCGAGTGCAGCGAAACAACTACTTGCGAGGTAGCTTCGACGCTGCTGTTGACGAGCCCGCCTAGACTAAAGTTTCTGGCACCGATTTCTCGTTGAGGTGATCGTGCCGTCCTCGAGACAAGGTGTGGGCGAAGAGAGGCAGTGAGTGGCCTTGCTAATGAGAAACCGATGGATTGGCGCAGGCCGGGTGTGATGGCGCAACGCGCCGCTCTCAGGGAAGCCATGATGAGATGCTTAAATGTTCATCAGAGGGCATGAGAAGGAACACTTTCTTCGAAAACTTGCGGCGCAGGGTAGTGGCCCTTGGAACGAAGGATGCGGGCTGGTCAAGGATCGTCAAGGAGCTGAGGCTAGATTTTGTCAATAGTTGATCATGAGAATATCTGAGTTTACGTCGGGCGTTCAGTGGTCAATTCAGAGCAGCACCAACGGACTGGTGCACGGGCCATTTTGATTCAACGGGCGCGGCTTGAGCGGATCTACAGCTCGCCGGGGCCGGAAAAGAGCTGGACCCTTTAGAGGTGGGGGTCGACTGCCCACTGTATTCGTACCGCTGCAGCTTCCCCCGCCCCATTTTCTAGCTTGCAGTACAACCTGGCCAGTTTGCGAGTCCCCTACCTCACCATAGCATCCCACGACGTCAACGGGCAATGCTGAAGCTGGACTTGACCGACGCCCCCTTCGGCTTCGACTCGCCCTCTTTTTTCCACCTCGACACCACCAACGGTTCCCAAGTTTGTCGAAGCAAAACCAAAACCTAATCCTACGAATTTTGCGATCCCTTCACCCCGATGCCCGAAATCTGCTCAGCGCCGTCTGGGCAGACGCCCTTCTCTTTTGGCCTCGATCCCTGGACCCTAGCCTACGTCGTCGTGCCGATCATCGCTTTTACTCCGATCGCGACCTACATCATGTTTCCTCTGCTGATGAAAGGCATTGGTTCCCTGCTGGGATGGTACCTACGAAAAAAGACAGAGGGAAGGAGAGCACAGCTTCTGGAGCTCAAGACTGCTGAGCAACAGTCATTCAAGAACACCCAAAAGAGCTCCAGCAGCGGGAAGAACAATGTGCAGGCACAAGCTTCCGGAAGCTCCGAAAAGAAGGACTCAGAATGGACCGGGGTCGTTGGGTTCTTCCACCCTTTCTGGTATGTCGAACGATTGCAAAAGTCGCCAAAAGGACGGTCACTAACAGCAACCAGTAACGCTGGCGGAGGAGGAGAGCGAGTCCTTTGGGCTGCGATCAAGACCACTCAGGAGAGATACCCTAATGCACTCTGTGTTGTGTACACTGGCGACCATGAAGTGAACAAGCAGGCCATGCTCGAGCGCGTCAAGGTTTGTCTCCCACCGTAGAACCCCTCTTTCCTCATACTAACGACATGTCTCAGACCCGGTTCAACATCGACCTGCATCCCCCGACCATCAACTTCCTCTACGTCAGCACAAGACACCTCGTTCTGGCCTCGACATGGCCTCACTTCACCCTCCTTGGACAATCGATTGGATCTGTAGTGTTGGCATGGGATGCCTTCCAGCTCCTTGTCCCTGACATCTTCATTGATACTATGGGCTATGCCTTCTCCCTGGGTTTGTGCAAGTTGCTCTTTCGCAGAGTTCCTACTTGTGCCTATGTTCACTACCCGACAATTTCGACTGATATGCTGGAATCACTGGACCCCAAGGCCGAGACTGGAAGTCAGGGCGTCAACGCCGGCAAAGGCGTTGGTATCCGAGGCAAGGTCAAGAAGTTCTACTGGAAGATGTTTGCGGCCTTGTACTCCCGGGTTGGATCTACTGTTGACATTGTCATGACAAACTCGACCTGGACCCAAGGTCATGTCCAGAAACTCTGGGGCCCCTACCGCCAGGCCAAGGGAAGGAACAACCCTATCGCTGTCAACTTCCCACCCTGCGCTGTCGAGGAGCTCGAAGAGGCAGTAGAGGTATCCGAGGCCAGTGAGCGGAAGCGAGAGCAGGCTTTGGTCTACATTGCTCAGTTCCGCCCCGAGAAGAACCATACCCTGGTCATTCAAGCTTTCGCCGACTTCCTGAACACCAAGTCCGAAGCCGCCAAGGAGGCGAAGTTGGTCCTCATTGGTAGTGTCAGAGACGACCACGACTCCAAGCGGGTGTATACGTTGCGCCTCTTGGTGAATGAGCTCGGCATCAAAGACCGTGTTGAATTCCATTTGGACGCTTCGTGGCCTGAGATTCTGGACTGGCTGCAGAGGGCCTCCGTCGGTGTCAACGGCATGTGGAACGAGCACTTTGGCATTGGTGTCGTCGAGTACCAAGCCGCCGGTCTGATTTCCGTTGTCCACGCCAGCGGTGGTCCCAAGCTGGATATCGTCATTGAAATCGACGGCCAGCCCACTGGTTAGTATTGACCTAGCTTTCTGTGAAGATGAAGACTAACCAGCTTATAGGTTTCCACGCTACGAATGTCAAGGAGTTCGCCGAGGGCTACGAAAAGGCCCTCTCCATCAAGGATCCACTCCCTGTTCGCCTCCGCGCACGCCGGTCGGCCAAGCGCTTCACCGAGAGCGAGTTTGACGAGAAGTGGATCGCCCAGATGGAGAAGTTGGTGGCCATGACGCCCTAGATGCATTGTTGACTCTTGCCTGTATTTCTATATGTACTTTGATAGACTCGAGGATACCCCTTTCCTTCAGATAACCTCAATAAACCTGGCTTATGTTGCACATAAAATCTCATCATCTAGCGTAAGCGTGATATATCATCTAAACCATCTACACCACAAATGCACCACTATTCTTCTGCCGCGGCTCGCTCGCGGCCTCGAACACGCCGTCTTCAAAGATGATGCCCTGCACGGCGCTGCGGCCCTCGGGCACCCACGTCACGTCGTGGCCCTTTTCGAGCATGCTGGCGACGGTGTCGTTGTCAAAGGCGTACTCGAACGTGACGGTATTGGGCATGAGCTGGTCGTGCAGGCGGGGCTCGCGGAGGGCCTGCTTCATGGTCTGGCCGTGCTCGAGGACGTGCCAGGTGACCTGGGCCGTGGAGCTGATGATGCGGGAGCCGCCTGCCGCGCCGACGGTGACGTAGAGGGAGCCGTCTGGGTGTTCTACGATGACGGGGGTGATGGAGGAGAGGGGCCGCTTGTTGGCGCGGACGAAGTTTGCGGGGGAGGGTTCGAAGCCGAAGGCGTTGCGGACGCCTGGGATTGAGAAGTCGTTCATTTCGTTGTTGCTGGTTGTTTGTCGGTGAGTGGAATTTACGGTGAGAAGGGATGAATAGGAGAAGGGGAATTTACAGGATTACGCCGGATAATGGGTCCATGATTTGAGCGCCAAAGAGGAGGTTGACGGTCGTGGTCAGGGAGGTGGCCATGCCGGACTTGTCCGCTGTGACGATATGCGACGTCCCGAACCCTTCGCTCGAGTACACGCCCTGCGGATCATACCGCTCAACCGGCTGCGTCTGGTTATCCAGGATCCTACCGCGGATATCCTTGGCCGTAGCCTCGTCGATAAGGGTATCCTCAAACGGCCCGATGCCTTCCACGAAGTCCGGGTCACCGAGCAGAGACCGGGCGCCGTAGGCGAAGCGCATGGCCTCGTCGAAGCGATGAACGCCGAGCTTGGTGTCGGCGGACTCAGCCGGGTCGAACTGCTCCATGATCTTAAGGGTGTTTAGGCAGACGGCGCCGCTGGCGGGGGAGCCGACGGATGTGAGGCGGTGGCCACGATAGGTTATGGAGAGGGATGGGCGGGTGACGACCTTGTAGGAGGCGAGGTCTTCTAGGGTGAGGGTGCCGTTTGTGGCGCGGACTGTGGCGATCATGGATTCTGCTATGGGGCCGGAGTAGAAGGCTTCTGGGCCTTCTTCTGCGATCTTGGCGAGGGTGCTGGGTGTTTTGTCAGTTTCTAGTTTTCTGAGAGATATGTGAGTGTGTGTGAGGCTTACGCTCCGTAACGTTTGCGGTAGATGGTATCACCAAGTTGGAGGAGCGTGCCTGCTCCGTGTTAGTTCACTACTTCCTACTGACCTACACTCGGAGGATTTTAGAGACTCACCGTTGGGAGCAAACTCCTCAGCCCATACTGGATCTTCGACGAGAAAGTTCCACTGCCCTTTGATAGCGGCGTCCATATATCGCACCAAGTCCGAAGACACTCGGAAGCCCGCAGTCGCCAACCTCGCAGCCGGGGTGACGACGCTCTTCCAGGGCAGAGTCTTTTGAGATGACCAAGTCAGTAATGAGAATCTCTCGCTTTCTTTCCAAGCTGTTCACTTACACCGTACTTCTTGTGGATGTATTCCAACCCACGAACCTCGCTCGGCACGCCAACGGCAAGGCCGCCGTAGACACTACCCGCGATGTTGCCTTGGTACATATCCTGGAACGCAGCAGCCGGCGCAGCCTCTCTAAAGTCCACAGACTCGTAGTTCCCATCAGCGTCTCTGATGACGACGAAGCCGCCGCCGCCGATGCCGGAGTGGTACATGCCTACGGTTCCAACGCAGAACGTCGTACCGACCAGCGCGTCGACGGCGTTTCCCTACATGCGGGTCAGGCCTTGTGTAACCTTGCTGAGAGATTATGAGAAGAAAGTGGACAAAATACATACACCTTGCGCAAGCAGATCACGTCCAATCCTACTGCACTCAACCGACTCACTTGCAACGGCGCCAGTGTCGCCAGCACGAGGGTTAAAGACGAATTCCGGTATCGCTGCGGCCGAAACCGAGCGGAATTCGGCCAGCAAGAGCAGTGAGGCTGAGTAATGCCATATTGACTTGGGAGATGTCTCTGTTCTCGGTTAATCTCTTTTCATGATTTCCAGAAGATGCTGATCTCCTCTACTGGATGGGATGAACTCACTCATCTTGGAAAGGTGGTTAATTCTAAAGGCCGGGCGGCGGTCTGTGGACTCCAACACCGGACGGTACCTCCGAGACTCAACGTGCACAACGGCCGAGAAACCGATAAGAGATAGCGGAAGGGATGACAGAGGGACTCGGGAGGTAAGCAACTCTCAGCGTTGCGTCTCTTATCTACCGCGATAAAGAAGCCTCCTATACCCAACAGATCACCAAGACAAGAGAAAGGGTTGTGAGTAAGCTGGAGGCATTAAACGCCGTAGTCGGGGGAGGGCCATGACTTATTACTACTGGGTCCCCGGCGATTGCGACAGACCAAGTCGCTATTACCAACTTGGTCCCAGTCCCAGATCCGGCAGGCACAACTGATAAGCGAGTTCTGGGGTCCAATATGTGGGCCACACTTACTTAGCTAAGTACCTACAGAGTAAGATAGGTACCTCAAGGTGTGGTGGCACTTAGTGGGCGAGTGACAATTGAAAGTGTGCCGCATGATAGCAGTCATGCTTGATGAAGCCCCACACCGAGTCCCAGGGACGCCAATCAGCGACGGGCGAATTAAGTAATTCTCAGCAACCTTCAGATGGGCGACAACTTTTTTTCACAGGTCGCATGTCACAAGCTTCAACTTCAAGTCTTTGACTTCATACTTTCATCTTACACCAAATTTTTGTACTTTCAAGCTATACTGTGACACGGTGCTCTTAGCGGGTCATCTTGTCTCATAATTGGTGTATTACCAACATTGGCTTGAGGCGTTCAATGGGTTTGCCCCTGCGGCTCCTTCCGAGACTCACTTCATCTTCACTACGTCCGGCTGTCAACGCCCTCACATTCACCCGGGCCTCAAGCTCGGCCCCGGCAGCAGCTCACCGGCCACTCATTCGCAGAGTCATCATGTCGTCAGCAGCAGAGGCGCCTCAGGCGGCGGCAGCGGCACCAGCAGCAGCAACAAATGCAGGAGAGTCATCTCACCAAGGTCAGGCACAGGTGCAGGGTCAAAAGAAGTGGCAGAATGGCGGAAACAAGCCCAATGGCAACAAGCGTTCATTCCAGGGCGGCCAGGGAGGCGGAAGGGGCAAGGATAAGCAGCGCAAGTCGAAGCGTGAGAGGAACATCACCGAGGGCTCGTCAGAAGAGGTCTTGGCGTTCGACGTGCAAGCGCTCATCGCATTGCGCAAGGAATCACTCCCCGATGCACCGGCACCGGCGGCAGGCGAGGAGGTCAAGGACGGGGAAGAGAACGGAGAAACGAAGACCGAGACCCAAACACCCTCAGAAACCCTCCCAGAGACCTTTACCGAAATCGAAGTCGAAGTACACGCAATCTCCTCAACGGGAGACGGCCTCGGCTTCCAGCTAGGTTCGACCTCAACACAAGTCTACGTCGTCCCCTTCGTCGCACCTGGCGACATCGCAAAGGCAAAGGTCATTAGACATGTCCGCGAGGAGTCCTACTCGGTAGCCGACTTCGTCTCCGTCGTTAAGGCGGGCCCCCTCCGCGACGATGCCCGCGTCAACTGCAAGTACTTTTCCCAGTGCTCCGGCTGCCAGTTCCAGATGCTCGACTACGACACTCAGCTGTCGCACAAGCGCTCCATCGTCGACAAGGCGTACAAGAACTTCTCCAACCTGAACCCGGACCTGGTCCCGTCCATCAGGGATACCATCGGCAGCCCCTTACAGTACGGCTACCGCACCAAGCTCACGCCGCACTTTGACGGCCCTCCTGGCCACCACAAGAGGAATAAGCCCAAGCAGGCGCTGAGCAAGGTTCCCGAGATTGGATTCAACGCCAAGGGCCGCCGTCATGTTCTGGATATTGAGGACTGCCCTATTGGAACCGACGCCGTTCGCCTGGGCATGAAGCGCGAGCGTGAGCGCATCGCCAGGGACTTTGGCAACTTCACAAAGGGCGCCACGATCCTTCTCCGCGAGAGCACAAAACGCTACCCAAAGAAGGTCATCAGCAACGGCAACGCCAACACCACAGCAGCCACGGAAGAAACATCCACGACAGAGGAAGTATCAGCATCAGCATCAGCAAACGAAGAAGAACAACCCCCCGCAGAAACCCCCTCCGACGCAGTCCGCGTCGAGACAGACGCCCACGTAGACATCAAAACCTGCCTCTCCGCCACGGGCGCAATGTCGAGCGAGTACATTGACAACTACCTCTTCACCAACCCCGCAAACTCCTTCTTCCAAAACAACAACTCCATCCTCCCCAAATTCACCCAGTACATCCGCGACCACGTCATGCCCCCCGCCGGCCCCCACCGCGACCGCATCAAATACCTCATCGACGCCTACTCCGGCTCCGGCCTCTTCACAATCACCCTCGCCTCCCTCTTCACCGGCAGCACAGGCATCGACATCGCAAAGGATTCCATCGAGTGCGCCCGCAAAAACGCCCGCCTCAACAACCTCCCCGAGTCGCAGTGCAACTTCCTCGCCGCCGACGCGCCCCAGCTGTTCAAGCAGGTCACCTACCCGGCCGACGAGACCGTCGTCGTCATCGACCCGCCGCGCAAAGGCTGCGATAACGACTTTTTGAGCCAGTTGTTGGCGTTTGGGCCGAGGAGGGTCGTGTATGTGAGCTGCAATGTTCACACGCAGGCGCGCGACGTGGGCGTGCTGGTGCGCGGGGACGGTGGGGATGGTACAAAGTACGAGATTGAGAGTATCGTGGGCTTCGACTTCTTCCCGCAGACGGGACATGTCGAGGGTGTGGCGGTATTGAACAGGGTCGAGAAGAGTGCTTGATTAACTTGCCTTACATTGATTGCATTGGGACGGGTTGGGATCTCATATCACGGGAGAGAGTATACAAAAGTTTGCGATACCAGCATTGGTCTGATAATTCGAAAAAGCAGCAGCCACCAGAGTATGGACGTGGCATGAGACCGTTCTCTCAAAACATATTACCAAGTCTTTTACCGTTTTATTTCGTGATCCTCTTGTTCTGTCTACTCTTGTATGAGGTTTTTCTGTCTGCACACAAAAAAGGGAGACCAAGTCTTTCAGCCCTCCAATGTCCGATTGTCCTCTAGCAGAATCTTCAACGCTTGCACCAAGACCTCAACCACCTCCGCTCGCCGACTCTTCTTAGCGGCCTCCTTGAGCCCTTCCAGACCACCCTCCTCAATAATCTTCTTCCGCGCATTGGCCCCTGGAGCGCCCTCAGCAGCCACCATGTTGTAGATGATGAAGCCGGCGCGGTGCCGCAAGTCCTCATTGTCGTCGGCGCACATGTCGAGTATGACATTGACGCCTCGCTCACGTTCCACAATGGCTTGGACGACGTTCTCGTGGCTAGTGAGAGCCGCTAGAGCACCACCTGCTGCACTGCGCGTGCCTTCGTCCTCGGCGTCCGCCAACGCGAGTAGAATGTGCAAACGGCCTTTTGCTGCGGGACTGCCGTCGGCATACAATGCCAGACCTTCCACGGCCTGCACGAGATTGCAGATAAGCTCAACGGCGGCCTTTGACACGCGCGGATTCGAGGAAAGTAGCTGGTCCTCGATCTGTGGCCACGCTACTCTGATAATGGCTCGTCTGGTATCGAGGTCATCGGTCGACGCGAGGTTGGTGAGCGCCATCAGCGCTTCGAACGTCGGAAGAAGGTCGCGGTGCTCCGCAACTGGGTCTGTGGGAATGATGGAGATGAGCGGGCGGATCGCAGAGCTTTGCGGGTTGGAACGACTGCCGCCGAAAACAAGAGCCGGGTTGGTGCTGATGAGAATGCGCGCCAGGGCTTGCGCAGCAGTGCGACGGCCGGCGGCTTCGGACTCTGGGAGCAAAGCCCACGCAGCCAAGAGAAGCTTGACGGCGCCTTGCTGAGCAAGCTTGCCGCGCAAAGATGTCGTAACTGAAAGAGAGTAAATGATAGCGACAGTGAGTGATAGTGACGCGGCCGAACCACCCTTGCTATGAGTTACTAAAACCGGTGTGACGCCGGCCTCGAAAACGCGCCGGCATCGTTCTGCCACATGGTCGTTGTCGTTGAGAGGATCGGGCCCGGCAGACTTTCCAGCAGCGGCGGCGTATGCCTTGAGCTGGTTCATCTTCTTCTCCTCCTCGGATAGGTTGGGTTGGTATCTGGTGAGATTCACCAAGATGCTAAGCGCACCGTACGTCACGGGTGACTTGGCCGGAGCGTCGGCCAACGTCTTGACAAGTTTCTTTAGGAAATCCGCGTTCCCTGCCAGCTTTTCCTTGATGGCGGGCCGGATCGATGCGTAGGCCAGCCCTTCGATAGAATGTTGGTGTCCATGGTCGTCTTCGCTGAGGAGCATGGAGGTGAACCTCGTTGAAAGCTCCTCGATGGTTGTGATTGCAGGTGATATCTTCCCTTGCCCGTCCTCATTCAGCGCCGGCGCCGTGGGCACTGCCTTCGTTCTGAAGTCAGTCAGATCTGTGATTGGACGGCTTCATGTCCGTTTGTTGATGAATACCATACCCTCAATTTCGCCAGGATAACCGCTGCCAAGTTTTGAACCTGTTCCGAGTGCTTGCGCATGGCGACGGAGCCTTCCTTGATGGAATACTCAGGGTCCTGTGACATTTCCTTGGCGATCTCCTCGGGATCCTGGTCGACAACCTCCTCCAACCACTCAGTGCAATACTTGTTCACTGCGTCACGGCACTGAGAGTTCATGCATGCAGCATTGAGCATCTCCAAGCAGGCAGTCTCGACCTTGCGGCTCTTCCACTTCCGTCTCATCAACGGGCCGAGGGAGCTCAGGAAGCCCTCGCTGAGGAACAGCTCCGAAGTGAGGTCAGGAACGACCGGGAAGGTGGAGGCAGCCACACAAAAGGCGACGATGTAGTCGTCATAAGTGCCCCTCTTGATCTTGTCAAAGAAGAAGTTGGACAGCTTCTTGGCACCATCATCGCCGGCGGCCTTGAGATAGGCGGATGTGGCGATAACGGCGTGCGCGCGAACAATCTCGGGCTGTCTCATGTCGAGATATGTCAAGATGGTGTCGACGCAATCACCATCAATGAGCTTGCATATCGTGGGGGCACCGGTCTTGGCCTGGATGAGCTGAAGATCCTCATTCAACAGCTTGGTGAGCTGGTCGAGATCGCGAATGGTTTCATCATCCTCCTGGCCGCCCTCCATTAATCGCGCAAGAACGAGAAGGGTCTCATCCTCTCTCGGAGGCGCCGTGGTGGGAGCGGAAGCTTGGGTGACGGCGGCCATTGCAGTAGTTGTTCGCTCAGGCTGGGAGGCGGTTGAGCGAGCTGTGATAATGTATACTTTGGTACCACGTCAAGGTGTGTTGTTGAGTGAGTGAGGAACGGACAGACCTGGGACGGACAGAAAAAGCCTAGAACAAAACGGGGCGGAACGGTTGATATAAGTAGGTACCTTGCTGCGGTGATTAGGGCGGCGGCGGCGACAGCGGACTGTGCGATGCGTTGGTCACAAGGTAAGGTAAAAGGTCCGGCGATGACAGAGGCGTGAGGTGGCCGTGGAGGAGGATTTGGGTAGGGTTGATTGCTAAGATAAGAAATGGCAGACGACAACCCCAAAGAGGTTTCACAAGTGAGACTTGTCACTGGTCAGTGGGTGCGCGTTGATGGGCAGTCACCACCAGTGGCAGTCCAGCAAGAAGGTGAGGTGCACAGCGCACGCAGTTACTAGTACCTACCCGTATCTTAGGTTGCCTACGGGGTTTAAGGTAGGTGGGCCACGTACTCGAGTCGTCGCGATTACATACGGGACCTCTCTCGGGCTTACCTTGGGTGCCTTATTCAGTATTGCCGTGCCACCCAGAGGAAGCTCAGCCGGTCTGGGTAAGTTCAAGTACCAAGGAGTAAGAACTGACGATGGAATGGAACCACCGCTGGGCTGTTTCTGTTCAACCGTCAGCTCCTGATACAACGGACGGGCTGACTGTTGCAATCTACGGTGCTCCCATCTTTTTTTAGGTACCACGGGTGCCCCTCCTTGGCTACCATTTGTAGCAGACTACACCCCTCACTGAGCACCCTGCCCGCACAAACACTGACGACTGACTTCGAAAGAGACTCGTGTCACTCTGTCGAGCCTCAACCATTGGAACCCAACACTTACACCGCCCGCTCCCGCATCGTCGACAGACAGGGTCTCCACACGTTTCTTTGCTTGATAAATAATGAGTGCCGTAGGTGATACGCAGATGGTAAGTGCTTGCCTACCTACGTCATGCTCGAGACAGGCACATCCCACTAAGGTACCTAGGCTTGGAAGGAACAATGAGTCCCCGTTGTAGGGGAGGAGCGGGGCGGGTTTGCTTGAATGTACTTCACAGATTGGCAACCACGCAACCTAAGCAAACGGCAAGGTGCTATTATTCTCGAGCTTACCTCATCAAAATGGAAACAGCTCCCCTCGAGCTGGTGCGCGTCGATCGTCTCTGTCACTCAACGCGCCCCCCACGTCAGGAGCACGCCTGAGTGGAAGTTGCTGTCGCTTCCCCTTCGGAGCCTCTTCCCCGTCGTCCCCGGTCCTGTGCCGTCCAATCAACTTTGGCAGGTTTCCCTGCCGTCCAGTCTGTTGGAGCACAGGCCAATTTGAAGCCCGGGGCACATGGGTTACGGATATTTCTGGATGAAAGCTAGCTTCGTTGCATCACCACACCTCACACAAACCCCTACTTGCGAGACAGAGGGAAAAAGAAGAGCAGCTCACCCTGCCTGTTTGTGAATGACACTGCGCCAAGAGACCAATTCTATCCGTTTGGCTTCAAGGACGTAGGATTGGACTGGGTCCGAATCGAACGAGGTCCCTGGATAGTCAATACAACCCACAGGCTTCCAACACCTTTTCGAGCCAAACCACAGATGCTCCGCCCGTGACACTCTCTCGCGACCAGGCGCCCGTCGCCCTTCGAGGCCATCGTCGACTACCGCATCCTCCTCCGCCATGAACGCCGTCGACGCTTCAGACCACTACGAGGTCTCCTCACATGAGGCCACCCCTTCCCTCTTGTCCATTGTCATCGACACGAACCCTCGAGCCTGGGCCGCCCTCAACGATATCCTCCCACTTTCAAAAGCCATCGCCAACATCCTGGTCTTCGTCAACGCTCACCTCGCTTTCAGCAATGCGAACCAGGTCGCCATCATCGCCTCTCACAGCAACCGTGCCGTATGGCTCTACCCTTCAAAGCCTGGCGCTGCCACAAACGGCAGCGCAAACTCTGAAGATGTCGCAATGACGGGCATCGACTCCTTTGCGCCGACCCCCAACCAGTCTTCGGCCAACAAGTTCCCTCAGTTCGCCCAGATCGAGGCTGCCGTCATGGCCGCGATGCGCCAGCTGGTCGACGCAACTACCGAGGCCGACCTAGCCTGCACGACGACACAGCTCTCAGGCGCCCTCACCCTCGCCCTCACACACATCAACAAGACCTCTCTCTCGCTCAACGAGACCAACAAGGCCCCCGACGTGGCCCGCCCGACCTCCTCCGCCCTCAGCCGCCTCCGCGCCCGAATCTTCATCCTCTCCGTCTCCGACTCGGAGCCCGTCCAGTACATCTCCACCATGAATGCCGTCTTCGCCGCCGCCCACTCCCAGATCCCCATCGACACCCTCGCCCTGTCCGGCGACGCAACCTTCCTCCAGCAGGCGAGCTACATCACCGACGGCACCTTCATGCAAGCCGCCAGCCCACGCGGCCTCCTCAGCTACCTCATGTTCGCCTACTCCGCCGACGCAGAGGCTCGCTCTTCCCTCATCCCGCCAACCCATCACACCGTCGACTTCCGCGCCG